ACCCACATAATCAATATCCCCCCCCTCCCTGGGCACCCACATAATCAATATCAATATCCCACCCCTCCCTGGGCACCCACATAATCAATATCAATATCCCACCCCTCCCTGGGCACCCACATAATCAATATCAATATCTCCCCCTGTCTGGGCACTCAGAGGTTGGGTGAAGGGTGTCTTCCCCCCTGCCTGGGCACTCAGGGGGTGGGTGAAGGGTGTCTTCCCCCCTGCCTGGGCACTCAGGGGGTGGGTGAAGGGTGTCTTCCCCCCTGCCTGGGCACTCAGGGGGTGGGTGAAGGGTGTCTCCCCCCCTGCCTGGGCACTCAGGGGGTGGGTGAAGGGTGTCTTCCCCCCTGCCTGGGCACTCAGGGGGTGGGTGAAGGGTGTCTTCCCCCCTGCCTGGGCACTCAGGGGGTGGGTGAAGGGTGTCTCCCCTCCTGCCTGGGCACTCAGGAGATGAGTCAGTGTGTGGCCCCTACACTGTGAGGAAAATTGTGCAATGTGGTCCAGTCTATAAGAGGAGTTTCTGCTTTTTTTTTAATTCCATGGTTCCTTAATTCACGAATGCAGGTTAGTGTGATCCATGTGTGAGCACATAGGAGTGTTAAGCTCTAATATGTGACAGAAGACCACCATACTCCGTGACCCTGGAGGCAAGTATATGGCAAGAGGAGACCGTTTGGGCCCAGAGTACAGGAATGTCAGTAGTGATTTAGTAGGTCCTTATAAACCACTTTACAAGAGTGGAAAGGGATTGCTGTACCTATAGGGCCTAAGCTAAAATAATTGGTACATGGCTGCTGTGTGATTGGAGATTCCCTCATATTGGAAGAGAGAGAATAAGCCAGGAAAATGTGTAAATTGCAAATACTGGGTCACCCCAGGATGTGTAACTGAACGATGGTCTCGAAAAGGAAAAAGGGTAATGTGTGGCTGAATTCTAGTCACCCCAACATCTGGAATGAAAGAACACTGGGGTTCCTCTTGTGCTATGGGTCGTTAAATGCCAATGCTGCTGCAGTTTGCACTGACTGTTTACAGTGTAAGCTTGTGTATCGCTACTGATTATGCTGGTGCTATGGAAGTCACCCTGCAGTGTGTGGCTGAGAATCTGTAGACAGGAAGTAGCTCACAGGTGCGATGCTTTGTTAACAGTTGGTTTATTTTGGTTACCAGTCTGTTTTGGAGGGATGCATGGCGGGAGTTTAAAGCCTTTCTGTACACACAGTCTTGCACCGAAGAGGTATACAGTTCATTCCAATTCATCTGTTCCTTCGGTCTTACTTGTTTAAGAATATACAGACTGAGAGAAGAAACCGACCAGGATTGAAGTGATATTTGTTAGCTGTGTACCAGTTTGCAGCAATGTATTATTTAGCCACAATATGTGCACCCTCCATATGAATAGGAAGTTATGGTCTGATTGGGTCGGTGTTGGTCAGTTTGTCAACTTACACTGTTAGAAGCTTGATTGCAAGCTCTTCAGTTCAAATGCTTTTATGTTTGTGCTATTCACATATGCTTATTGCTGATGTTACCTCTAATAAATACTTGTTACTAAATTTAGATAGTTTGCATTATCAAGGGGAAAAAAACGACTGCTGAGCGATTTAATGCAGTATTGTTGTTGTTTTCTTCTTTTTTCTAAAAACACAATTGGGTAATCTCTAAATCCTGGACTGATAGGGTCTTTAGTTTTATTCAAAAGCATTATTAAGACACAAGAGTTAACATAACTTTTAGAATATTTTTTTTTGGTTGATATAGGTGGAGTCGCTATTGCCAACAATCTGCTAAATAAATGTCACATCAACTTGCAAGTCCGAGACGTGATAGAATGCGATGCCCATGTTTTTGTTTCTCTCTATGAAGCCATTTTAGGAGAGAAAGTTCCAGGTAAGACCTACGTTTTACTATAGTGTATTCCAATGAGATTATGTGTGTGTTATTATACATTGTTTGGCAAAATCTGTTTGGGCTGATTCATAAATATTGAATGTTTCCGGCCCCAAAAGGTAGACAAATTAATGCAAGGAGCCCACCCAAAGGATAATGAGGGTACAAAGCCCAGAGACTTCTTGCACCATAACTACAGTAAGCTGTTTGGCACGATTAGGCAACCTTTGGCAGACTAAATTTACCGTAACGCTTTTACAGCTAGAATTCTGGCAAATCCTCCAGGAAGACGTAATCAATATCTGTAGTTCACCAAGGTTGCAGACTCCAATCTGTAGCAGTTATACTGCTTAGTGTCTACTTTACACATTTTTGTAAACAACACATGTATGTATAATGTGTGAAGATCTTCCTAACTGTCGGCAATCTGTGTTATTAAGCCATGTAATTTATTTGTATATTTTTGTAAAACTTTTTTTTTTTCCTCTCTCTGCAGATTATATTCTGAGCTCTCGGGGTCCAGAAGATGACGCACACAATGTCCAGTCTGTAATTGACTCTCTTGCACTTGACTATTTACAAGTCAGTCTATCCCATATAACAGGTAAAACCTAATCCTTTGTAGACAATGGGCACAACTTGAATCCTTGTTATTATTTGTGGGATAATTAGTCCAATAATCTTGAGCCATGAAATCATCTTTGCAGACCTGACACAATGAATTGTATATTGTAAGCAAAAAATAGTAAAATTGGAAAAGCTCTCTGATTTGAATGTATTCCTTTCTGTTCAGGGGAGAATATCGTCAGGGGAGACGCTGAATCAATTCAGAATCTGTTGGAAATTTTTGATGGGTTATTGGAATATCTGACAGAACAAATCAGCGAAGTATCTTCTCAGAATGGAGGTGAGAGCATCCATGGGACTTTCAACACATTTCCAACTTGTTTTGGAATTTGAAGACTTGACCTGTCACTCTGAACCTTCTGCTTATCACACATGGCGACTATGTAATTTTGTTTTGGTTTTTCCAGATGATTCGGACAACCATTTCCATTCCAGGGTGCAGCAAGAGGGGATTTTGAACGGGCAGGGTGGTCTAAAACCTCCTCCGTGTGCAGGGTAAGTATACATTCACTGCTGTTTACTAAACACTGAATGGCGACCAAATAATAAAATAATCTAATTGAATACCACCCTGTTGCAGTCATCTTGGCAGGTTTTCAGCTCAATCTTCTGAAATCTCTTTCCCATCGTGGGATGTGGATGGTTCGGAATCTACCGCTGAACTAATCAAACTCGGGGATACTGCGCACACATTCACTGTCCGGGGTGAGTCCTCGCTTCATACATGAAACATTGATGGATTGCCAATTAAATTGTTACTGCAATGCATTTCTTCTCGATGGGGATAACCGCATACGTGTAAATGTCTGTACACACTTGTGGAAAAGCCTATACAAATATATTTATATAATGTGTTGATTTGATGCTGTTAGTAGTCCACTCTGGTATGATTTAAGAAATTCAGATTTTCTCATTTCATGCGATCTCTGCAGGATCGGATTTGGAAAGATTAAAGGTTTCATTGAAAGACGACAAATCAGTCTCTCAAAAGTCTTTACGTGACCGTGATCGATCCTCATCACCACAAGCGCCAAGGGGGTCTTTCCATAATCAGGAGTCGCCCAAATCCCGTAAGTAATTGTGCTGTCTGCATTGGAGAATGATACACAGTAAGGGCCCAGCAGCTATTTATACATGTTAAGCTAGCCTTGTTCTGCAGGAACTACTTTTGTCTTTGTTTTTGCTATCACAGTGATTCCATATATCTATGGCTCTCATATTGGCTGGAGTGATATGTAATCTGTCAGATGTTATAAGCTTGCTCAGCTGGACTGTGTCCCTTTGCCAGTGTCTCCTTGTAGTCCGATCTGATCACTGTGATAAAGTGTACAAAATGTGTGCAACTATGAACCGTTTAGGTTAATTGAATTACTTTGTTTTTCAGGGTCTCGTGTTCTGAATGGTGTGCATCTGGGTGAAATGAGGAAACCGGAAGAAACTCCTGCAACAGCTATTCCGCTAAACCCCCCTTATCAGCCTGACCAAGCCCATCACCATCTTTTGGCCACTACAGGGAGGAGTGGGGAGCGCCTGCCTTCTATTGAAGGTACCTATAATGTTTCAGTATCAGTCTTTAACACTAATCCTAATTTTGAACAGGTTTGATATTGTGTCTAGTAAGCTTTCAGCAGATTAGTAATATTTTATTATTTCAATAATCCTTAGATGGCAGCGATCGAACAATCCACAGACCTGAGCAGCGGGATTTGCAGTGTGACCCAACTGGTTTAGCTGAGGTGAGCGAAGACTTGAACTATAAAATTTCAAATTGTCCTCATAAAATGAATCTATTAAAGCTGTTGAAAAAAATGTCACTCGGGGCTTGAAATAAACTAAATACAATAATAAAAAGTCGAAATGGAGGAAGTGTGTACAGATCAATAGCGCTTAAGCGCAGGGCTGTCTCTCACCATGGGCACGCTGGGCAGTTGCCCGTGGGCCAAACCACGCCTTTTGATCCTTTAATCTCCCCTGCCGGCCCATGGAGAGCTGGGCCAGGGGAGAGATCAAAGATCTCACTCACTGGCCCAAAGACAACCTCTGGATATGACGCGGAGCATGTGCACTCAACTTATTTGGTCGACCATGGCGAGGCCTGTTCTGAGTGGAACCTGTCCTGTAAAACTGCTATATGGTCTTGCACGCTGTGCTGCAGCTCAGTTTCAGGGTCTTGGCAATCTTCCTATAGCCTATGCCATCTTTATGAAGAGCAACAATTTTTTAAAAAAATTTTTTCAGTTCCCCTGAGAGTTCTTTGCTATGAGGTGCCGTGTTGAACTTCCAGTGACCAGTGTGAAAGCGATAACAGCAAATTTAACACACCTACTCCCCATTCACACTTGAGACCTTGTAACACTAATGGATCACATGACAACGGGGAGGGAAAATGGCTAATTAGGCCCAATTTGAACATTTCCACCTAGGGGTGTACTCACTTTTGTTGCCAACGGTCCGGGCCGGGCCGTCCATAGACAGTGCTGGAGCCATGGCAGGGCTCCAGGCTGCACTCTGACAGGGGCGGCATTTTCATACTTTGATCCAGGCAGCACAATGTCAGTGTGAGTTATTTTGAAGGGGACAGCAAATTTACACTGTTATACAGTGTCCTTGCCTGGAAATTATAGACCTGTGAGCTTAACTTCTGCGGCTGGTAAAATATTTGAAAGGTTATTAAGGGATAATATTCAAGAATTCCTTGAGAAGAACATGGTTATCAGCAAAAATCAGCATGGTTTTATGAAGCACAGGTCATGTCAAACTAACTTGATTGCGTTCTACGAAGAAGTAAGTAGAAGTATAGATCAGGGTGTTGCAGTGGATGTGATTTATTTGGATTTTGCCATGTCATTTGATACAGTTCCACACAATAGATTAGTGTTCAAACTCAAGGAAATCGGTCTAGATGAAAATGCTTGTTCTTGGGTAGAACATTGGCTTAAAAATAGAGTACAAAGAGTTGTCATTAATGGTAAATTTTTAAGCTGGACAGAGGTGGCAAGTGGTGTCCCTCAGGGGTCTGTTCTGGGACCCCTTCTAGAAAAAGTTCAGAGGCGGGCTACAAAATTAATAAAAGGAATGGAACATATCAGCTATGAAGAAAGGTTAACAAATGTAAACCTATTTAGTTTAGAAAAACGTCGCCTGAGAGGGGATATGATAACATTATATAAATATATTCGGGACCAATACAAACCATTGTGTGGAAATCTATTCACAAACTGGACTTTACATAGGACACGAGGCCATGCGTTTAGACTGGAAGAAAGAAGATTTCGTCTAAGGCAAATGAAAGTGTTCTTACAGAAAAAAAAAAAAAAAAAAAAATCAGGATGTTGAGTTCTCTGCCTGAAGAAGTGGTTTTCAGAGTCCATACAGATGTTCAAACAGCTACTATATGCATACTTGCAAAAACAGAATATTCAAGGATATAATCTTTCAATGTAGGGTAATAACTGCTTGATCCAAGGATAAATCTGACTGCCATTCTGGGGTCAAGAAGGAATTTTTATTCCTAGCTTGTTGCAAAATTGTGCTTAAAACTGGGTTTTTGTTTGCCTTTTGGATCAACATCAAAAAACAAATGTGAGGAAGGCTGAACTTGATGGAAGCAAGTCTCTTTTCAGCTATGTAACTATGTAAAATACAGGCTGTACACTTACTACTTTACCTTGTAGCAGAGTGTAATTTCTTCATTGTCAAAAAAAAAAAAAATGTGAGGGGTGTACGCACTTTGGTGAGATAATGTATGTATTGCATTTGTTGGAGGTACCAACAAATATAAGCTTAAGTTTATTGATAATTTACATTTGTATTACTGTGAGTTGTGTAGGCAGGGCCCTAGGTTACTGCTTTCCCTGGGGGCCCATTATGCTGTTGAGATGGCACTGCTTAAGCGTAAACTAGCAAAACAGCAGCTCAAACACTTTTTTGTGTGGGGAAAACCTTCGTTCCCACACACCATGTTAAAACAAAGCATACAGTGGCATACTCTGAGTAAAACGTAGGGTTGCTTACCCTTAACAATCTTGAAAGGTATAGGTGTATATATCCCAAGCCCAGAAAAAATAGAGACAGAATATAGTGCAGATGGTAACTCTGCACTTAATGGATGTACATCGAAAAAGGTCAGACCACTCACATGTAACAGAGCCTAAATGAATTGGCTCAGTAAATAATGTTCTTGAGCTTTTTAGCGTAGCATCTCACCACTTCCTCTGGTCTGATGGAACACTCTCAATAAAGAGAAAAGGGTTGCCTTCTGTATACCTTGAAATAGATTAGTTTGCGGCATAAAATAAACTTTTTTTATTTTATTTTATTTTATATATCTGTGTAATTATACATCTTTTATGTGTTCTTTTACAGACCTCTCCTTTATGTCATAAGAAAGTTGCCTTTCGGACCTTGCCGGAGATCCGCTTTATGACTCAAAGCACACAAGTAGACCATGACAGTTGTCCGTCAGCTAGTGAGGAAGAAGAAGGAAGCGCAGACTCTGCAGGATTGCGGCTTAATGGTGCCCATCGCACAACCATGTCTGAAAGTTCCCTAAGAGAGTGAGTATTATAACCTTAAAATATTAACAGTCTAACAGAAGCCATTACTATAATGTAAATTCTTCTTATTTTGGTATTTTCAATAAGCAAGTCATGTTATTATCCAAAATGCCTGGCTCTCATAGTAACTGTTTATATAGACAATAAAATAGACATTCTTATTCACTTAACGGATTCATTTTACCTTACTCTTCTAACCCTAGTGGTTGATTCAAGCAATGTCGTCTTGTTTTTCCAGTTCTCTGAATTCTGATGGTACACAAAGACTTTTCACGGAAGAGCCCATCTCTGTTCAGAGAGCAAGGAACAGGTTGTCCGAGCAGGAGCTGAAGGAAATGTCTGAGAAGCTTGCCCGTCGACTGGATGCCCTGGATCAGGTTAGTCTGGCATCGGAAGTTTTAGGATGCCTCCACAAATATTCCGATTTTTGCAGATGACCTATTACACTCTTCTTGGGAGCTGTGTGTAGAATAACCCCTTTTTGTGACGAACAGATGTTGAAAAAGGCATTGGGTGAGCAAGGGCTTGATACTGATCTGAAGGAGGAAGATAAATTATCCCAGCATAGTGACAGCATTATGGAATTTCGCAGGAAGAAGCAGCTGCAAGGTAAGAAAGTAGAACCTGACCTCTCCTGCATGCATTCACAGCTAGTAATTCACCAATGCTCTATGAATGGGTAACAAATTTAAGTAAAAAGGCAATTTGTTACATATAGGCCAAAGAGTTTGTTAAATGTATTTCCTGATTAATTTTATTGTTTTATTTAATTCTTCAAAAATCCTTGTGTGGTGAATAAACTGCAATTTCTCTTAATTGGCATGAATCCCCAGTTGTAGCCACTCTGATGTATGTTTTAAGATTACACTGTTACCCACCATATGCTAAGGGCTTTGTTTAATAAAACGGTGGGGGGGTGTGTGTCAGTAGGGATTTTTAAGCCCTTCTGCACCGCGAGGGAGGGGGGCACTGTAGGGAGCTATAGTGCCAGGAAAACACCTTGACTGTAAAATTATTATTATCATTTATATAGCGCCAACAGATTCTGTAGCGCTTTACAATATTTTGAGAGGGGGGATGTAACAATAAATAGGACAATTACAAGAAAACTTACAGGAACAATAGGTTGAAGAGGACCCTGCTCAAACGAGCTTACAGACTATAGGAGGTGGGGTATTAGAAACATTAGGACAAGAATGAGATGTTTTATGCAATAAATCTGTATAGGGGGCCAGTGTCTGTAGCATTCTGTGTTGGATGAAGCACTTTAAACTCCCATAACACCCAGCACATGGAGATAGACTGAAGTGCAGTCCATTATTCTAGAAATATATTCTATTGATAGAGCATCATGTGGTCATTGGGGCTTTTCCAGGGTTTCTGGATATCTGATCTAATTTAAAAAAATATTTTTTTCGTTGGTAAATGTTTGCTCTTTTCCCAGCTGTCCAGCACTCAAAGAAACTTCCCACCAGGCCGCGGTCTCTGTCTTCCTCTCCAATACCCCATGTTCCCTCACTCAGTGCACAGTTTGAGGATGTACTTCATAAAGAAGGCAAGGGCGAGATGGGCCGGATTAGAAGAGAGGTGCAGAAAGGGCTGGACCAGCAGCGAGTAAAGTCACAGGTGGGTGTGTGATATGATGTAATTAGAGTATGTGAAGGAGAGACGTTAAAGGAACAGAAACCTATATTCCTGACCCTATAGTATTAATAAAACCATGTTCGCCTCCCACCCCCCCCTTGTTTGTGTGAAGGTTTTGTAATAAATATATTTATTTTTAATTTTGCACAGATGTTAAATCAAGCCTACGAGGAGGAATTGAAAGATTTGGAAGACCGAGAAATGGCCAAATTGTCCAAATTAAAAGCCAGATTAAAAAAGTCGGTATGTTACCCCCAGTGAAATTACATGCGTGTCTTGCTGCTGCTTCTTTTTAACCATATCCTATAGGTTTGAGTTAAGCCCCTATTTTAATGCATTGTACAGATGAACTTTTCCAGGGTTATTCATTGAATCTTGACAATTTAAAAGTGAGTTTACAGTTTGTTCAAAATTACTGAAACCATAGCTCAATTGGAGCCATTTTTACAGTTCCTCAAGTGTGGCCAGAAATTTCCAATTCAGTTCACACCGTAGAGAATAATCCTGTTTTTAGTGCAAACCTTGTGAGCTATGTGGATTGCAAAGGAGACCTGAAAGGACCATGAGAACTCATGTTACAGGCTCACCTTAAGACGGAATGATCAAATCATTTTAGCTTCTGAGATCCATACCAGCAGAATACAGGACCGTCCACCACAAGGCGTGCAAATGCTCTGTTGAAGAAAACCAGAGAATATGAGAACTCTGAGAACAGACAAAAGCTTAGAGAAACTCAGTAGCTTGCCCTTCGGTACATCCCCGCTCAGGTCTCAAAATAGTTTTTGCTCACTTGTGCCGTTACAGAGAGCTCTGTTCTACTTGTGTCTCCTGACGTCCAGTGTTATTACATGTAGCATGGGGGCCCACCATTCCCCATGATGCTAAGAAAGCATTTTTGCTGGCCAGTATCAAGAGATCTGTAATCCACTGGAACGTGCAAGAGCAAAGCAATACAATCTACCAGTTTGAACATTTGGCCAAAAACCTCTCAGTGGTGTGGTATACAGTGAGTTTGTTGTTGTATTTGGGAGATATAACTGAACACAAAATTGCTCCCTTTTTAAATTTTTTTCCTTTCTTCCCCTGTAGTAGCACATATCAGGCTATCAAAATTCAAAGGTAAAATTCCTAGTTGTTGATGTAGATTTTATAGAAAGATACCTGTTTGAAACTTGTTGGTTTATAGAATCTGCACATCGTGGAGACTTCCATTAGTGAGTCCTCCCGGACTCAAATTGCACCTGTAAACCCAGACAAGTGTGTTAACTAAAGTGAGAATTCTCTGGAATTCAACGTTCATCTCCGTTTTAAAGGGACACTCCAGACCCTTAAACCACTTGCTGAAAAGCTTTATGTGAATAGTCTCTTATTTTTTTACATTTTGCAAAAAGTGCAGATTTTTTTTTATTTTATTTTTTTCTTTCTTTATTAATTAACCTAGTTAGACCTTCCTGGCTGTCAATCAGATTAAAGATTGTTACTTCATTGTTATTTGGCTCAGTGGAGCTAAACGCAAGAGGCTGCAATTGCCCAGAGCACTTGCCCTGCAAATACTTCTCATTGAGCTGCATTGGGAAGGCTGTGATTGGACAGCCACAGAAAGTCTGGGCAGGGTTAGAAGGGGAATTACACTTTTTTTTTTTTTTCAAAAGTCCTCCAGTGCAGCTACTTTGGCCTTAAATTTTAAATTAAGCTTGACTTCCCAACAAATCTCACTTTAACCGTGAGAGACTCCGATTAAAACCTGAAAAATGCTGCATTTCCGTTGTGCACATTTGTTACTTAGTCTGTAGTTGGTATTATCCTAGTTCTCCTTAAAGAGTGAAATTAAGTGTTCATATTAATCCAAAAGGTATTCTGTGTTCAAGCTTCTGTCATTTTAAGTCTTGATATGAATATTGTCCTAACCTGTTAATGTTTTCTCCCTGGAAGGAGCAAGAATGTAAGGAAAATATATTTAAACAGCCGTCAAAAAGATCTCAAGCAGAGAGAATTTACTCCAGGAAACAGACTTCCCGTAAAAACGGGCAGCGGCCACCGTCTAGCCGTCCGCCTACACAAAGTAAGAGTCGGCGCGAAACATACAGAACTTCATGAATGTTAGTTATGTGGAGAGCTGGAGCGTAAGGTACCTTTTAGTAACAGTGTCTGTTCCCTTTCAGTGAAGATCAAGGATAACGACATGCTTCCTGTGCTGTTGGACGAGTTTCCCCATCTGCAAATATCCCCCCACACACTGAATACCATGTGGAAGGGGCAGTCCGTGCAGATTGAGCAGCTTAGTAAGGTTGCTGAGGATGATGAGCGCAGTGAAAGACGGCTGCAGCAAGAGGTAATGCGTTAGAGTGCTGTGGGAACAAACTGGATACCATCAGGGTTGTTATTCACTAAAGGGAGAATTGCTGGGTATTCAAATTGTAGTGAAACTGGAATAAGAACTCCAGGTCCGTTATTCTTCTAGTTTAGCTTCTACTGGCTTTTAATTTGAAACTCTTTAGTGAATATCCCTCCATGGGTTTTATGGCTCCTGAGTCTTGGCTTGAGAGTGTCTTCTAAATGCTAACAGGAATCTTTGTAACACTGTATGTTTACTGTGGTTAACCTGTAACCTTCAGGGTGGCCTTGGTAGTTTGCTTCTATCAATGCTAGCTGGAGAAACCTCGTGTTATGTGAAACTTTACCAAGAACGGTCCAGTCCTCTAAAGCACTGATCATCGTTCTTGTCTAAGTACATCTACAAAATTAACCCAGGATGGCTCACTAATTACCATGTCTCTGGCTTTTTGCAGGTAAATGACGCTCACAAAAAACAAGAACTGCTGGTGGACCTTATCAAAAAGGAGCAGGAACATAAGCAACGTCTGGTTAGTAACATTTAACCTGAATCTTGTGCTCTATACCCGCTACTCTCACATTAGTTGGGCTCTATACCCGCTACTCTCACATTAGTTGGGCTCTATACCCGCTACTCTCACAATAGTTGGGCTCTATACCCGCTACTCTCACAATAGTTGGGCTCTATATCCATTCCTGCTATGAAACCCGAGCATCCCAAATCCATCCTTCCTTGTAGCCAGCAGCCACCAGAATTTCCTCAGTTTCCCCTGCCCAAACATCATTCCCTGTACCCACTACTACTGCAAGACTAAAACTCAGTTCTGAGTTTGTTAGTCTTGCAGAAGGAAAATGTCTGTCTCTGCCACATTTTGGTTTTGTTTAATTTTCCTTCCTTCGTTATCATTTTCCTTACTTTGTAGAAAGATTTCAAGGATCGAATCAGACTTCAGAAAACTGCTCAGAATAAAATGAAGGAGAATCGGCAACAGGTAGCCCGCGCTAAGCGATACTACAATGATTACCATGTACAGCTCAGAGCAAAAATGATGAGGGCGCGGACCCGAGAAGAGCGGGTAAGTACCAGAACTCCCAGTGTACCATCGTTGTTAAGTTCTACTCTGTGATTCTGGAAAGGGGGATTCTTTCTGGGGATTCTTTTAGCAGTTGTCTATTTAAGCCTGGGGGTATCGATAGACTCGTTTGATTACAATTGTAGTGAATGCATTGTTGTTCTATGTAAGCTAGAAATGAGCTGAATTGTTCTTTCTTCTCGCCTTAGATTGTTAAGAAACTCTTTGCTGATGGGTTGGAGCTGCAGAAACAGAGACTTCGAGAAATGCGATCATATGCAAAGGAGCTGCGAGAGGAGCAGAGAAAGCGGCATAAAGATGAGTTGGAGTCCATGGAAAACTACTACAAGGATCAGGTAAGAATGCACGCTTTGCTATTTACAGTTGGCTACTAAAAAGACTTGACATACCCCATTTTCTATACCTGGGTTGTCTGCATTTGCAAAGGGTATCATGATGGTGTTTATTTTCATTTCTGGGCAACATAGGCCCAGCAAACCAATCTGTCAAATGTCAATGTGTAAAAACTGAAATGGGCAAACTCTTTATTTAACCCCATGAAACCTGTACTTGTGGGACATCACAGCATACAAATATGTATTTTATTGCAGTAAAATCTCATGGTATGACATTCACAGTTAAAATGACATGCAGAACATGGAAAATTATATTTCTTAATTTCTCACATGATTTAAAAAAAAAAAAAAAAATTTTTTTATTAGTATTGTTTCAAATATAAATATTTGATGTGAAAAGAAAGCCCTATTTCATATTTAAATATTTGATGTGAAAAGAAAGCCTTATTTCATATATAAATATTTGATGTGAAAAGAAAGCCCTATTTCTCCTGAACAAAATGATGCATAATAAGTGTGGATGCAATTAATATGAAATAAATAAATGTATGCTTGATTGGACATAGAGTGCAAAATCCCGGTTGTGTTATGGTTTAGACCTTTGACTATTGTCCCCGTCCTTAAGGGGTTAAGGGAGGGTAACCAGTCCCTATCGTTTTTTTTTTGTTTTTTTTATATAGGTTAATAGTCATATTTGGTAGAATGTGAAAACTGTGGCCCCAACTCTTTTATCATAGCACAGTACAAGCTCCTCCCACTCCCTCAAAGACTGTCCAATTGGCAATGAGCAATAAAAGCCTGATACAAGATTGTCACATGATTCCCAACCTTGTTTGAGAGTAATACATTTTTGATGATCTGATTAGAACCATAGTGTAGTAAATAACACTGTGTGGACATTGGATAAAGTGTTTTTCCTGTCTGGTTTTAGTTTTCAATGCTGGCAGAGGCAGTTACTCAGGAACGCCACAATATTGAAGTCCAGGAGAAGGTGCAAGGAAAGGTAAATATCTGCGTGTGTTTTTTTTTTTTTTTATTGTCCCCAAGTTTTGGGTGACTTCTGTAAAGTGTACAGTATGCTGTAGTGGTTATGGTGCTCTCTCAAACCATTTATGAGCAGCTGGACACCAACCATCAAATTATCAAAGTTTCAAAAAGCTTATTCTTGGGCCACGTTTATTATAAAGGCTACCTGCACCATAACTCTGCTCCTTGAATGGACTGTGGTGCAGTCAGGTTCCCTGCATACTGGTGGACATAACTGCAGTTTATAAGACTTGTTGCAGCTAGAATTCTGCTCCGAGAGGCCCCTTTATAGTGACCAGTTAACTTCCCTCAGTGAAACAATGTGGCACAAGCGCATGCAGAGCAGAAGCACTAATGCCCACCCAGACACATCACTGCAGAGTGTGGAAACTCCGAGAGCACATAGCAACCAAAATGGTTAATCCACAGCCATTCTGTCCCACTCATTCTCTTTAACCCCTTAAGGATACATGACATGTGTGACATGTCATGATTCCCTTTTATTCCAGAAGTTTGGTCCTTAAGGGGTTAAGCAGTAGAGGATAAACTACATCTCCCATAAACCAGTGCAAGTGTAGCAGCGCTGGGAATCGTTTTTTTTTTTCTTTCCATAATCTGTCATTTCCTGCCTCTCGTATTCCTTTAAACTCTAACCCATGCAGCAAGCATAGGAAAGTGCACTCTACTTACATTGTTTAAACACTCTGCAGACTCTCCAGAAAATGAAGAGGGAACTCCGAGCAAAAATGGAGCGCGAGATCCAGGAGCTACAAGAAATGATTATAAAGGCAGACGAAGACGCGTTTTTCCGGGAACTCGATGCTGACCGTTTAAAGAAGAGACTTGAAATGGCATCATTTCAGTACAGTAAGAGCCACGGTCTGTAGTTTTGCCAAACTACCAGCAGAGGGCACTGGAAGTTATCTTTCAATGAGCGCAGATACTGTTTTAATTCTTTACTTGCTGTACTACATGTTGCTATGCAACACACAACTGCTGCTTTTATAATTTGATCAATTTACTGTAACTTCAGGCACATAATTGACAATGAAATAAGTTCCTCCAAACTCTAACTTGTATTAATAATGTAGCCAAATGCAGAAGTGCCTTAACGTAAACGGAGTTTGTAAAAATAACCGTAAAGTACCATCACAGGATTTTTGTAATTTTTGATTTTAACTATTTATTTATATTGGGATTTTAACTTATTTTTTTATTTTAATCTGTCTTTGATTCACTTTTAAAGTAAAATAATGTTTATGCCTGTCTTGTGGTCTTTGAAGAATCTTAATACATAAAACTACTGATTTGGTTGTCAGGATTTATATATTTAATCTAGTCTAAATCCACCCTTTCTCTTGAGCTAGCAATTCCTCCTTCCATTGGCACAATAAATGTAAAACATGGTTACTTACCCCCAGTTGTAACCACAGTCACCCCATACTCCAGGAATGACTTGTAAATTGAAAAACCCCAAGACAGTTCATAGTGAAAGGGTTTCTCTAATTCAGTGTTATGAAGTGGTCATGGTACCCAGACCCTGTATATGCAGTGTTCCAGTAAAACGTTGCCAATGCTGAAATATTTAATGTCAGTGGCCAACTTGGAATGAGAGTACTGGCTAATATCAGTTTTGTGTATAATCCTTGCACAGAGTTAAGCTATTGAGAGAATGCTCATCTGATACCCTCAGCCAGTGAATGACTGGATGTGGCCACACTGGCATCTTAGGAGGCTGATTACTGGCTGAAAATATTTGAGAAAAAATGGAGCCAAGACACTCCTACTGTCATAGCAGTTACTGTGGGCTTTTGTGGTTATGATCCTTGGTAACCCTAACTTTTGGTTAGTTAATGGGTTTGGCACAATCAGAGTGGTGACTCCTTTTAAAGTAGGTCTTTCTCTTGTATGAAATCTGCCACCACTTTACTTTATTTTATCTGTCACACAGTCTTAACGATCAAACAGTGGCTACTAGTCAGTGACTAAAGTATGACATTTTAATCCACTGTAATTTTCTTTAAACAATTTAGTATATATACTCCCAATGAAAACATGCATGCAGTCTTCATAAGGGTTATATCTAAAAACAGCTTGCAAAAGCTGTAGGTCTCTTGTCTGCTGCCTTTGGAAGCCCTCCCCCTCTAACTCGCCCAGGCTTGCTGTGTCTGTCCAATCAGTCTTCTCCGCACAGCTCAATGACAAGTCTGTGCAAAGCAATTGCAGTCTCTTGAGGTTAGCTCTGTTGTCTGACAGTCAGGTGAGTGTAACAATGTTAATTTTTATTTTATTTTTTAAGTGCTAATTTCTATGAAATCTGCTCCTTTTGTAAATTAAAAAGGGGACACATTCTTCACACAAAGCATTTAAAGGACCACTATAGGCACCCAGACCACTTCAGCTTAATGAAGTGGTCTGGGTGCCTGGTCCAGCTAGGATTAACCCTTTTTTCTATAAACATAGCAGTTTAAAAGAAACTGCTATGTTTATAATAGGGTTAATCCAGCCTCTAGCTGCAACCTCCAACTAAAATGAGTAAATATATTAAGATAGGGTGCACATTAAATACCTTCTATTTTTTTTTTTTTGTACAGTTGATGGCTAGATATATTTTCTTGTGCATTACATGGGTCCCAGTGGAACCCATTAGCAAATGTTTTCTAAAATGTATGCAAGCTAAACCTACCGAATAGCAGATATTTTAGAAAGACATGTTCTGGCTGCAGAGAAGATACATTTACGGATGTTCGCTAGCACTGAACAAGTTATATTTATACAAGTGGTAGAATACATTGAGTATGTTATTAGCAGCTCAAAATACTACACTATGTTGTCATCACAAATCTGTCCTTGTGTCTTCTATGCCAAAATGTAACTGTCTGCAATAAGTATCACTTCATTTTGGAACATATTGTTCTGAAAGTATAATCATTGGTAGTCAGGGCTTCCATTAGCATTCAGGGCCACTTGCAGCACCCTAAACAGTGTGCTACACCCAGTTACACACATTGAAGATCAAGGTTTTATTGAAGGATGGGGAAAGGTGCGCTTGCGTAGCAGACGTCCAGTAGAAACTAGGACAAACACGAGACTGTAAGATGCTGTCCTGTCTGGCTTCCCTTACACAAGCGCTGTGAGGAAGTGATTTAAACACCTGCTCCCAACACAGTCGCAAGGTAGAAAGGTTGGACCGTCCGTTCACTCCAGAAAGAGGCCAGAGTCGCTGGAGTTCTGCAATGCAGACTTGGTTTATCACATGCTGTCAGCAGCCCATTTTGTCATTAGGGTTGAGTATATTTCAAACAAAGGGCACTTACTCAATTTGTATAGAGTGGTAAGGAGCATCTGGACTCCATTCACATTGGTCTATCACTAAATGCAAACATTTTGAACTCTAAAGTAGATATGTTGTCTTTTTTTTGACACAATAATGGTTTGTCCGTCTCTGGTGTCATCCATTCACATTATCTTCATTTTAGCAAGGTACAGTATATAAAGATTTGATTACCATTCACAGAGCTGTCTGTTTGCAGTTGACTCTTAGTTCAGAATTGTAATGCAATTGTAGCAGCAGCTAAGCTATTAGGTTTGCAACAAGCTACTGCTCAGAAACAGATGTCTAGCGGACCTGCTCATAAAAGCCCTCTGTACCAAAAGGGAAGCCAGGTAACAAAACATTTTCATGAAACACATAGAACTTTTTTTTTTTTTACACATTGATGTATAAAACAGCTCGTGTGCAAAGTGTGATATTCAATTGAGGTAAGTGTTAACAGGAACCAAATGTTTGCATTCATTATCTATGAAAACTAAAACCTAAAGAGACAATTTCCTAATTAAACTGCTCACACTTTGTGTAATTATTGCAAAATTTCCTTTAGTGATGCAAATGTGAATCATGACCTCTCTAAATTACACACTGAGGAGAACAAAACCCTAAGCGGTGTTAACCTTAACACATGCTTAATTTTCTTACATTAAAGATGTTACAGTCCAGATCAGTGCACCAAGATGGAGACACCCAGTATTTATAAATAAATAATCCTGAGACGCAAGACTTACCCTTTACTGTAGCACTGCTTGTCTTCATTGTCATGGTGTTACGATTCCTCACCTATCCTGAATATACTCAGACGGAGTATTACTATAGGCTGCAACTCGTACAGCAAGCTAAACCCTATGTGCTCCTCTAATCTATAGCCGGTAGACCAGGCATCTTGCCTTTACATCAACTAGAATCAGCCAATCTTTCATCATTAAGGATTAATTAATGGACAATTGCCCTGAATGTTTACCAGACAAAACCAGCATCTGGCAGGTGCACAAGGGTGAAGTCCTTTTCAAGCTGACCTACAGCGGTCAGTGGTTTATGAATAAAACAAACACACCCGGTTTTTGGAAAATACACATTTGTTTAATCAGCTATAAATTGAAGCAGTTTTTCCATCATATTACATGATGTTACACAACATGCTGGTGTTGCCAGGTTAGTGAGGGGGGAATCAGATTACTGTCCTGGGATATTAAATGCAGTTAATAAAAAGCCAGTTAACTGCCTCACTGCCAGTGGGATTCAGAGGCAATGAAAGGGGTTAATTGTGTGGAATGGATTTGCTACAGCGCAGTTTCGAGGGTAGACATGAGGCACTCTGAGGTCAGTTAACCCTTAGATGGCAGACTCAGAGATTAAGGGGCATAGTCTTAACTCTACAGCTGCCAGACATAGCCCTACATCCATTGATAGCCCTGTGGTATCCCAAAAAAAAAAAAAAAAGACTGAGCTGTGTTTCATGTGCACACACACTATGGATTGCAGTTTGGACTGGGTCAAAAGCTGGTATATACAAGGTAGAATAATGCAAACAATTGAGCCAACAGCAGGACCCAGTGAACACCACTGGTTAAACAGTGAGAATAAGCAACAAACTGCTAGTGTCGCCCTCTAGTGGTTTCCAAAGTGATGTTTGTTTCAAATACATGTTTTATTGCCTGTTGGGAGCTAAACCTTTCCAGGTTCAATAATTCAGATACATGTAGAGATTTTAAGAGAATGGTGGCAGGCTTCGAGATCAGCAAGAGATGGTTTCTACGGTTGACTTGAAGCATAAGTAAATCATATAAACAGGAGTTAGTTTAGTTGCAGGTCAGGTAGTCTGTAATCCAGGAATGTCTATAATGCATTTCTATAAACATGTAGCCGCAACCTCTACTGTAGCAATAGCTCTCATCTCTGCAGTGGATACCAAACATTTTGCGGTCTCTGTCAACAATATGCTAGCTAACCACAAAAGGCTCAGGTGGGTTTTAATTGGGCATATACTATTCCATCTTCTACCACCAATACCTCATTACTAGCTTCCCTCTTGTCATTACAGATAGTGAGTGTGTAATTACTTTTAAAGATGTATGTCCATTTTTTTTCTTCCTGGGAGTTGCGCTTTAATTACTAGACACGGTGGCTATTGTCCTGCTCATTCTAAAATTGTGGACGTAAACAGACATCCCTGGCATTGTTGAGCTATGGCTGCTGTAACTTCACTCTCTCCCTACACAATGGACCCAACATCAATAACTGATACGCAAGACTGTTTTAAACAGGAAAGGCGCACTTAGTTGACCATGGGATTTAAAGATTGTCCCAAAAACATTGAAATGAAACCCGGCCTACACAGATCTGTACAGAATTTTCATAGAAAATTCCTTTAAAATTTTTAAAAAATTCTATTTACAAAGAATAAAGACCAGGACCGGATGAAAGAGAGGAGGTAGGAAATCGGATAAAGCTTTCAGCCTGAACTATATGTCCAGTTTGCTCTAAAACATCTCCAGCTTGTCTGAAAAACCATACTAAATATAATTGTTAGTAGCAAAATATGGCGATTGTTGCAAAACAGGTTATTACACAGTAAAAGATACGATATCAGTGGTTAGACGTTTCATTTACATAAAGTGTTTTTAGCGGTTATGAAAAATGTGTTATGAACAAACTTTTTGTAGAAAGTAACTTGTTTAAATTATAAAAACACAAATAACCTTTACAAGGATAGCTGGAATATTTAAAAAAAAAAAAAAAAGGCATATAGAGCATTAAATTATTTCATTTGGAATAAGAATTTGAAATATATTAATAAAAACATGAGTGGTGTATAGGTGAAACAAAAGACCACTAGCGGATGGGAGATCTTATCTGTTCATATCCTCTACTTGAAAAATGCTCTGGGGTCAAACTCCACTCCGAACAGTCAGTGACTTGTGACATCACAGAAGAAGAGCTCTCCTACAACAGAGGGGACGGACCAGCAGATACAATGGTTGGACACCTCCCATGTGGTTTTTATTATCTGCCAGTGGCCACACCTATGACTAATACCACGGGATGTCTGCCTGCCCTTGCTGCTGCTGGCCATGTCCTATAAAACAAAAAAGAAAAAGACAGCCCACAGTTGCCCACCAACTTGCCTGTGGACGTGTTGTCAAACGCCATTGGGCTGCCTCCCCGCCAGAAGTGACATTTTGGACAGATAGCGCTGGAAGTTATGTGCGGGAAAGACAACTCCAGGCTGTCTTTTTCTGGCCATAGCCAAGCCAGTGACAGATACCTTATAAGATCTATCTTTGGCAACAGCCACATGTGGTATATACGCACAACAGACGGTCTCTCTTCTGGTAGTCATGCTAGTGACTAAATCCACTGTCCTGCCTGTCTCTAGATTTTCCACCAGTAGAGAGAAAAGACAAACCCAGGTGGCCAAACTTGTACCGATGACAAAATCTTCTTCGTGTAGTGTCCGGTAACAGGGAATGTAATAAACGTCCCTTTTCTTATAAAAAAATAGTAGTCTTTATCTGTTGAACGCTGCTTCTCCGTACAAAGTCAGCATCCTCTACATAGTTCAAGATATTTGTTTTAAATAGCAGCTAAGTCGCAAGCACAGAACGACTTTTTCTCATGATGAAAGAAATGTGTATAATATTATAATATATATTATAATATATATCATTTAAATATACATAGGTATATATCACAATATATATATACAAAACACATACACATTTTTTTCTCGTTACAGTCAGTTCCTCTTCTCGATCACAGGGTCCCACGCAAGGCTAAATCCATGTTAGGGCACCTGAAGTATCAGGACGCAGAGTGACAGCGGCTTGTTAATAAGTCTTCATCATTCCACTGCAAATCCACAGGTTTCTTCGATGGCTGTGAGGAGTTTTTCGTACAGCTTGTCGTAGTTCTCGTACGGTGGAATGTCAATGCGGTTGAAGCTGTCAATAAAAAGAACTTCGATTTAAGCCTGTTCCAAAAACACAGCTGCCCCTCCCACTGCAATTTATATTCTTTCTTTAGCCCTAAGCAGACTCAGTCTTTAAGAAGCCAAATGGCCCTTGTTTTGAAACAATCTACCTTAAGAAAATCTTACCACGTATGAGCTTTGGGGAGATTGTTTGTATTGGCATCAATCTGATGGATGGTAAAGAGCCTCGGACCGGCTGCACCTGGGAATATAATAGAAAAAATATAAGCGGAGCTAAAAATGTTTTTTTAAAAGGGAATTAAGAGAGTCTGGTAGAGGCCTGAAACTTATATATAGCTAGTGTAGGATTGATTTCCTGATAGAAGGATTTATGGGTAACAATGTGCAATAAGTGGAAGTTTCTGCTGGAGGAACAGTCCACTTTTTATGGTGACTGCAAACCTTTCCTTAAGGTAGTGTTTAGTTGAAAAGGGCATGAATGGATGTGGATATTAAAGGTACACTAGTCACCAAAACTGTAGCTTAATGAAGTAGTTTTGGTGTATAGATCATGCTCCTGCTGTCTAACTGCTTGAATCTCTGCCATCTAGGAGTTAAATTACATTGTTTATTGCAGCCCTAGGCACACCTCTCTGCATGTGACTTACAGAGTTTTCTTAACCACTTCCTTTAACATGAGATCTAATGTTTACACTTCCTTTATTGCAAATGGTTTAATTTAGAATTTTGTATATACTACTCTGCTAATAGCTTGCTAGACCATGCAAGAACGTCCTGTGTGTGATTACAGTTCAAATTACAGAGCAGGAGATAAAAACCTTTAAAGTACATTACATTGAAAATGAAACCATTTTGTTTTCACGCAGGCTGTGGCAGTCACAGCCAGGGGAGGTGTGGCCAGGGCATAAACAGAAACAAAAGTGATTTCACTCCTAAATGGCAGAGAATTGAACAGTGAAATGTCAGAGGCAATGATCTACATAGAAAAAACGATTAATTCAGCTAAAGTTGTTTTGGGGACTAGTGTCCCTTTAACTAGTGCATAGCCTCCTGAACTAAATAATTGCAAGTAGCGATTTTGTTTAAGAAATGGGCGGTATAAGATCACCATAAAAGAGAAATCTACAACTGAACCAAAGACTGAATGGGGCTGACCTGTACCAACAACAAATACATCACCTTCCATCTTGCTAGCACACAATAGGTCTTATCTACAACATCCGCAATGGGCATGAACGGCCAAACTGGGTTTTTAACAAGGTCCATGGGACAGTATCTGAATGACCCTATTCTGTACACATATTCCTTGAATATACTGGTGTTGCACCTTGTAATGCTTTGAACCCTTGGAGGGGAACTCTAGAAGAACCAGTTACAAACTGGAGTAGACGCGCTCTCCTCTCCTCATCGAAAGATTCCACTGCTTTCCAGAACCACTTGACAATGTTACTGTCTGGCGTACAGTGTTTTAACCGGGTGTTTGATTTCCAGTCATTAACATCGATTTTTCCAAGTCCACAGATAATCAGCTGCAAAACAAATTAAATAATGAAAACCCGGCAAGATGGCACAGGTCAGGTATCAGTTATTAAAACATGGCCTTCGAATGCCCTTATATAATAAAAATATAATAATAATAATAATAATAATAATCTTTACACATGCCGAATGGATGTACCTTATTCAAACAAGCCCCTCAAACGTCCTCGCCCCTAAGACACTAGGTGACAACCTCAATACTCTTCTAATCCCTCTTTAGAAAATGAATTTCCCTTGGGGGCCACATTGAGTTAATAGACTGACCTCAAGTTCTTTTTCATCAAACGTTTTCAGCAGATGTTGAGGAATTACTTCATTAAATCCTTTCTGCAACGCCAGAAACTGCGCCTCTATACCTCGTAAGAACCTCCAGTTCACGTACAACCTGGGATCACAAGATAATGGCAGCGTTTCAACCAGCAAGCATTTTATCCACATAACAAATATTCCAGTGTGTTCTCTTCCTGATAGGACTAAATAGACTTCCCGGGTAGCTGCATATACTTTCTAAGCAAATGCCAGGAAGTACCCCTCCATTTCACTTCACAGTAAGAACTAAGGCAATAGATGGCTACATTGCACATGGATCACCAAAGACCTTTCTGTTGATTTACACCAGGCATAGAAGCAAACATTTGCTCAGTTTATAAGACCGACACACTTTGGAGCTAAATAGCCATTTTGTTCCCTCTCTGCCTCACATTGACACCCTAGATGTGGGGTGCCAGGGTCAGTGCCCACTCTAAAATCCCTTCCTCTATATATGGGTGATAATGAACGCTGCAGCGACACTTGGTTGATTTGCCAATTCTAACACTCCGTAGAGTGGGCATATTAAGTGTGCCATCTCAGTAGATGACAAATCAGTCTCCTTTTACAGTTCCATCCAAAGGACTATTGCCTAAGGAGTTATGGTATAAATATATATTTTCACTTTTTTACACAATTTTCTGTAACAGATTTAAACAAACATTATAAAAACCTGGATGATCGTGACATGGTAGATGATTTAAATTCTCACCAATTGCCCAAAACAATATGTCACGTGATGCAACCTCAGAGGTTATTACAGGAACACTAGAAGTTGCTAATTTTAGTTTAGCCATATATTTGATTATTAATATTTAATGGACTATAAACTGGGAATCAAAATAAATTTCCATCACGTGGACCAATACCATTCTGCCTCACTCCGTTAATTGACCATAAACGCGTAAACATAATTCTCATTCTGACAGGGGTGTTCACAAAGCTCTGAATTGTGGCAAGCTGGAATCTGAATTACCAAACACAGACTAGCACAGCCGATTTGGAGAAGCTATTGAAATCCCTAGTAGTCACAGCTTGGCTATTTTAGGTGTAATTGTGTCATTTAGATTTAATTTCACTACAATTTGGAGTTAAAGGACCACTATAGGCACCCAGACCACTTCAGCTTAATGAAGTGGTCTGGGTGCCCGGTCCATCTAGGGTTAACCCTTTTTTCTATAAACATAGCAGTTTCAAAGAAACTGCTATGTTTATGTTAGGGTTAATCCAGTAGGAATTGCCGCGCATGCACATTCAGCGGAAGAGGAGGAGAAGAGGGAGGAGAGCTCCCCGCCCGGCGCTGGAAAAAGAGGTAAGTTTAACCCCTTCCCCTCCAACCAGCCCGGCGGGAGGGGGACCCTGAGGGTGGGGGCACCCTCAGGGCTCTATAGTGCCAGGAAAACGAGTATGTTTATAGTGGTCCTTTAAGTGAAAAGCCCTCTTGACGTAGTATATGGGAAGCAGAACACCGGAGTTACCTGACGTATTCCTTTTTGCTGTCTTCTGTGACTGGTATACTTTTCCCGTTGGGTTTCAGTTCGTGCTGGATAAGCTCGCCATAAGCATTGTGTTCCACACAAAAAGTGTGATCCAACACCGCGGTAATATCGTTTTCTCTAAAATGAATAAAGACAGGAATATGAAACAAAAGAAAATGTGACTAAATGCAACCTTTCTACAAGAAATGTGTAAACCAAAATGCTATATTTCTGGATAAAGCTTGTGGCATTCATAGAACGTGGGAAACAGATTGATATTAAATCAGGAACCATGTAACCAAGTTCACCAAGTCATTTTCCACTCCATATCCAAAGTATTTAAGTATCTTTCTCTCTCTACAAAAGGAAAGACATCCTCTATCCCAAAACATTGCTATTTTTAATTAGTTATTATTTTGGATTATTAGTCTCCAGTGCTGGCCTTTACCAACGGCCACTAAACTTTTGATCTGCTTGTTGCCCACTGCCCTACAACACAGTCTTCCTATGGACCCTTTCCATGCCAGCCCATCCCACATCAGGTGAGTGTCATTCCTTCTCTCCAAAACAATGACCTCCATATGCTCCCTTCCAGTGCATGCCTCCTCACCCCCACTACATTACACGTACTCTCATCTCCAAATCGCACCATCAAAATGCTGGCTGCTCTAAAGTTTTCCCCCCAACCCTACGGTCTGTTCTCTTGCAACATTCTCCCAACTTCCCTGAGTGCTCGATGAGAACTGCTCCAATAAAGTTTGTACTTACAGAATCCAAACAAGGCTGTTATGCAGATCTGGATCCACTGACTCCATGTCATCTAACGTAATTGGCTTCCCAAGAAGCTGTTTATAAAATGGCAGTGTGAATCCCCCATCTATGTAGTGTCCGTGGAATACTGCCATACCCATGATTCGACCAACAAAATGGAAATACGACAGATGTTCCTAGAATGAAAGTATGCGGTTTTATTTTAGAAAGATTTGAATGTCACCCACAGAACAAACGCTCGTAAAATGGCAGAGCTGCATCACCACGTGGGTAAAGAAACTTAAAGATTCTTATAATATACAAAAAAAAATGTTGCACAAATCATCCAGGAAATCCAATACATAGCACATACTTCCGTAATCATAAATGTGTCAACTGTCTGACATTCAAAAACATACATAGTTAAACATAGCGGACTTAGAGACTCTTTCGTTTGGCTATATTGGTCTAAATTTTGAAATTTGGTTTGAGTTCCCAGCGATTCACACTTAAGTGGAAAACTTGGACGGTAAAATTAAAATAATTAACTGTAGTTCCTCACTGGAGAAGTTGCTAACTTTCTTACCGGGTTAACTGCTGAATCCGGATTTATCTGCAGAGTATATATATCATCCCGTGAATACTGGAAGAGGCCATAATAGGGATTTAACATTTCATGGGACAAGAGGTACAGCCATTCCCTAGAAAACACAAAGGTCCAAATATTAACTTTATTATTCATCATCCAACAACATTGGGGGCGGCAGCATAACCAGGTGGCCATGCTATAGTGATAAGAGGTCACAGTCCGGTTTAACGTTACCTTGCAACACCTCCATAATCCAAACCCTCTTCTCCTCGGAATTTTATCATAAGTCTCTTCCACAGGTCCTTCGGTCTCATTTTCATTACTTGCCTGTAGGATTCCTACAATCAATAAACAGACATTAAATACTCAACTCCTACTTACACCTTTAAACCATCATTAAACCGCTAAGTATGCAAAGCTACATTTCTAAGCTAGAAAAAAACAAAAAACACAAAGAAGGGTACCTCAAAGATCTCTTCTCGAGACACCTCGATTCGGCAGTGACCGGCCTGAGGCTGCTGCTGGGAGAGTTCTTGTCTCAGGATCTTTAATTTCTGCACAAGGTCTCTCTTATAACGTGGCACAGTGAGGCACTCCACCTCGTCTGGAAGCTGGCACAGGGTCACCACTTGCTGCTGCTGCTGCTGTTGGTGATCTTTTAGCTGGTTCTGGCGACTAAAAAAAAAAAACCAAAGTAATGGTTACAAAAACCAAAAGAATTATAGGCTACAAGAGGCTTCCAACGCAATTCAATAGAATATAAAATAGTTAAAAGAGTGCTCCGGCACGATCGTACTGGTCTTAAAAAAACGATTAGCGACATGATGCATTAAAGCCATTTAGAAATATACAGAGAACCTAGTTATGTGTAAATTCCTAAGTCAGAATAGGAAGGCCCAACGTGAACATTTAATACAGATGAGGCTGAGCAAGTTTCAGTAACGAGAGACCGTAATCGCACACTGTAATAGCACCAACGGAATCATATTCATCAAACGAAACACAAAAAATCCAATACATTACACTTGGCCTCTTGTTTCAAAAAGTATTACTTTACAAACAAGGGGGTAGGGTGGGGAGGAGGGGGAAGGTGAGAGCGTGTGAGGCTCTACCTGTAATACAACATAAACAGTCCGTGTGTGTGTGGTGATATGTCTGCTTATATTTCACACAGCGCAGGTTTATGCACTGGTTGACTGCGCACATTAATTTCCTTTTACAAAAACAGTGACCGTCTTCTCCTTGGACAGCTGTCACTGAATAAAACAATCCCAGTATTCTAATACAAGGAGCAAAGCAGGAGGGATTCCGATCATTCAGATGAATTTGACTGAGTTCCATAAATGTTATTTGTAGCAATGAATAAATATTACAGTCACATGGTAATCACAGCCTCTGAGCCAATAATATTTCATTAATGTCTCTGACATACTGTGATGTCACTCCTGAGAGCCATTCGGTTACCGGATGCATGCAGCAAGTGGATCCATATCCCCAATGTGACAAACACAGGGTTATTCACCAAACTGTGAACTATATGGAATTCAATGCAATTTAAAGTTTTGGCCAAAGAAGGCCAAACTAAATATATGGCAAGGGGGTGAGAGAAGCGAGAGAGAGTAAAAGATACTATTTAATCACACATACAAGAAATAAACCATAAAAACCATTTCCACAAAACAAGCACAACTGTCAAAATATCTCAAAGCAAATCGCAAGACTCTATTCCAAATAAAAAGCAGGATGTGGTACAAAGAGTATTTGCTAAAATACTTTTTTATAATCTGAATTACCCAAGATTATAAAAAAAAAAAAAAAAGTGCAGAGGCGGGCTACAAAATTAATAGGAACATATCAGCTACGAAGAAAGGTTAACAAATGTAAACCTATTTAGTTTAGAAAAACGTCACCTGAGAGGGGATATGATAACATTATACAACTCTATTCGGGGCCAATACAAACCATTGTGTGGAAATCTATTCACAAACCGGACTTTACATAGGACACAAGGTCATGCGTTTAAGGTAAGGTTTTTTTACTGTAAGAACAAACAGGATGTGGAATTCTCTGCCTGAAGAAGTGGTTTTATCAGAGTCCGTACAGATGTTCAAACAGCTACTAGATGCATACTTGCAAAAACAGAATATTCAAGGATATAATCTTTCAATGTAGGGTAATAACTGCTTGATCCAAGGATAAATCTGACTGCCATTCTGGGGTCAAGAAGCAATTTTTTTCCTAGCTTGTTGCAAAATTGGAAGTGCTTCAAACTGTGTTTTTTGCCTTCTTTTGGATCTACAGCAAAAAACAAATGCGAGGAAGGCTGAACTTGATGGACGCAAGTCTCTTTTCAGCTATGTAACTATGTAAAGAAACAGAGAGTTCAGAGTTTTGTTTTTTTTTTACTTTACAGGAACACTATATTGCCAAGAATACAAACGTATTTATGACAATAGTTCTAAAAGCACATGTTAGGTCTCTGCCCCCCTCCCTTGACTCCTGTTAAATTAATTTAGTCACCTTTCATCAGTACTGTCCCAAACTTGTCACGGCTGGTTCTGCCCCGCCTCCATGGTGGATATCATCAAATTTGATGATCTCAGCCAATCCAATGCTTTCCCAAAGGAATGTGTTGGGAGCCTATTGCGCATGCATCTAAATAACAAGATGGTCTATTCTCTTTTAACTATATATTAAAGATTTAGAAAATCACACCATAATCCAGTTCGGACATGGCAAAGACACCGCAAACATTGCAAACAAAGAGTAGAAATAGAACAATAGTATCATTTCTCCTCTTCTCTGAACTTATAACAGTGACAGACAGGAAGCTACGGTGGAGGCACCCATCAGCAGGATAAAAAGGTGTGGATTTCAACATTTCATTTGGTTTGTACATCTCACAAATACGGGTTTGTTAAATACAGAGGTAGGTAAACGTATACGTGTTAAAAATCGTCAAAAGTGATCTTAAACTTGTCCATGAGACCACAAATGTCTGGGGATTTAGTGTGTACCCACATGTGATTAAATTACAGCCAAGGACTTGCAGTAATGAGGAAGTGGAGAGGTATTTTTAAAAACCCCCACTATAAACAGTTAATGATTAGCATCTCTCAGACCACATTCCATCCTGCACAGACAGCTTTGAGGAAAGTACAGAAAGAAGACAAAGATGTTGGGATACAACTTGGCAAGAGATTTGTGATACAGACCTCACAAGCGTCCCTTATTTTGATCCCTAAAATCGTTAATTACCAAACTATGAATATTAATAAATAAATGCTGAATGGCAACATAGAGGATAAAATAGCAGATTTGAAATAAATATCAAACAAACAAACAAAAAATATGCACGCCCGGGGCGGGGCCTGACAGCCAAGATGGCCGGTCGTGCTTTCTGAGAGCTCTTGCAATACAGGGCACAAAAACGCAAATTCTGCAGGAACTACAGGTGCTGGCAGCAAACGGAGTCCAGAGAACAAACCAGGACCACACGGGGCACACAATGATACCCGACCCATATCGGAACCACATAAACATACATGGACCGGCCATGAGGCCTAATCCGGAGCGGGACCTGCAGGTAGGGGGAGGCGGCCGACCCCCCGACACAGGGCACGCTCGCAAGCGAACAATCGACAGGGCCCTGCAACCCCCCCCTCTGGACCGGTGGGGGTTATCCCGGTCCTCGCTGGGGGCGACTAACCCCACACCACAGCCGGACACGCAACGGCTCCGGAATGCCCCTGAGACTGAGGCGAAGATGGCGCCCAAGCAACACAGAGGGAGCACAAAGGAGCCAAAAACAAGCCTCACTAACCCAGCTGACTACACAGCAAGGCTAAACAAAATTTTCGCAGCATTCTGGCGCAGGCTGGCACGGCGCCTATGCACTCAAGCCGAGAGTAATCGGGTAACTCACCCCTCACTGCGACCACGAGGAGGGCACAAAATGGCAGACGAACAGCGGACACAGCAAGGCAAGCACTCCCGTCCGCCCCAACAAGCCCGACAGCGATCACACTTTACGGCTCGGAGCCACAAATCCCCTTCTGGGCAGGGGAGCACACCGGACCAAAATCCGACCCACCGTCCACACACCCAAAGGGGCATCAGGAGAGTGAGGCTCCGGAGGGCCCACGGTCCCCCCACGTATAGGAGAGGGACCCGAGGACACAGGGAAGTGCTCTCTGCTACATCCCGGGCTGGGGGATCCGAGCATGTCCAACCCCACTATACCAGCCGGTCGGGACGGGATCGACCAAGGAGCACCCACATTATACCCACAGCACTCCAGAGATCACTCACTCAAGGGACTGTAACACCCTGCACGAAGCTGTTCACAGCGGCTCCCAGCCGGACACCTTCATCCACTGCAACACCCATGCACAAGCGGGGTATTGGCTGAACAGGCCTCACTGAGGATGCACCAGCCCTTCAGCGCCGGGCGCGGGCAGGCCGGAAGACCGACACGCGAGCTATACATTCCTACACGCTGGGACTTTCTCCTGCAGACACCGTCGACCAGGTCTTACCTAGCGAGCACCCCTCAGATATATTTGAAATACCTGAACTAATGTTACCCTGTGCTGTTTCGTTTTTTACTTTTAAGTTTGCATATATTTCCGAAGCAGGGTGACCCTACCGCAACCCAAATCTGCAAATGGTCATTGCCGGCTAGCGCCCAGAAACTTTCTGTACCTATAATATGTTGCAAGCCTATGTTTTCTATGCCTGCTAACCAAACCACTTACAGCATAAAGTGTCCATGCATAGTAGTGTAAATTCATGGTTATCACTGTTCAAGCCTGTTTCTAGCTAAGCTTAATTGACGACACTGCTTAAAAGACGAATTAACTATTGTTGATACGTGCATAACATATACCACTAGATTCAAAAAAAAAAAAAAATAAGTTTAGACAAGTTATAGATGATTTCCAATATTTTATTAAATGGTGACATTTCCAGAGAAGCTAAGAAATAATTTGAGAGATCTTTCAGATGCCAGCTGTGATTTAAAGTGTTAAAAATAAATACATTCTTACCTCTTAAAAAAAAAAAAAAAAAAAAAAATATGCACGCCCATGTGGCCATAGTCACAATTGAACTATTTTAGTAAATAGTGGTCTGTCTTTTCTGGCAGCTCAGTATGTGTGCATAGATGTAGAATAGGAACAAAATGCACAGTACTCTGTATAGTATATAGTATAAATATAGTTCAAAATCGGTCTCTGTAAGAAAGATACTTATTGTTTTGTTCATTACGTTTTTTGTTACATAATTGGCTTAAAGAGGATCTTTAAGTCACACAAGTTTCCCTGGAATATGAAAACACGGGATTTCAAACTTACTTTAATACAAGATGGAGATTGGCCGACAGCCGAGGGTCTGTGAACTGCGTAGTTCGGTTGTTGTGATCCACAAAATAAACTCTTCCTGTTGCTGTATTGCGAATCTCCCAGCCTGGAGGGAGTGGGCCAAGTTCCTCACAGTTTACGTTGCTAAGATCCCTAGAAAGTAAAATTAAATACATATTGAAATTTTTTTTAGAAAGTCCAGAGTTTTCGAAAATAGAATTCAAAGTGATAGATCTCACCAATGCAGAGTAGAGCGCAAGAATTTAATAAACGCTGACAAAGTTCACGTGTGCGATACTTCGCACATAACCAGATCTTCCTAAAATTTAACTTTTCATCCATAATAGCACATGGGGGCGTTCATTATATTAGTACCATTAAATTGGGTAATAGTAACAACCCCTGGATGTTGGGCTAGGACATACTTGGAAACCAGAGTAATCTGAATGTACCTTTCCTGGTTAAATACCTTGTTGTTGTTATTATTATGTAGAAATAGATTAAATTAATACATAGTGCTTGGGAAAGGTATAAAATAAAATATACACTTAGATTTTGCAGGACGCAACCTGCTTATCACCAGGAGATTTTGTCACAGAGTTTGTGTACGTTACTTCTCATAACTCCAAAGTAACAAAGGCTGTGCATAGGAGAGGAAGACCCATGAGACCGCCTATTAATTTTGCTGCACAGTTATCCCCAAAGGTGATTGTGAATCTGGCAACATTCGTTCTTGTATTTTTACCACCAGTGTTAGATCTTACTGTATTGTCTCACACATTATTTGTTTTTGTTTTTTTCTATTGTGCCTGAACCAATATTAAAATAAACTAAGTTAAAATAAAAAATACACCTAGATAAAAACTGCTTCTCCTACAAACATATGGGATAGCTGTGCATGAAACAAGAATACGCCTGTTCCCCGTATAACCCAAGAAGCATCGCCCATGCAATATAAGAATTGAGGGTTGGGGAGTGTGCCACATGGGGGTGATTGGCCAGGTCACTCGTGGCTGGCGTATATTACAGTTCTCTATCCTTACGCATTGATGCAAGACAGGTGGCAGGGGACGCAACGATATATAAAGGGCAGATATGTGATTTGTGCTTCACTACAGGCAGCCTTTAAAAGGTTACATCAGGGTGTGGAATGGAATACATATATTGATTATTACGTGTATTTTTTGTTTAAATTGTAAAGCTGTGTTTGGGCACATATACAAACAGACGTTGAAAAGTAACTGATAGCAAAACAATACAGGGTAACAGTCATTTGGGAAACATTCAGATAACCCAGAGCCAGTGCTAAGGGCTGGGCTGTTGCTGTTATTTGGCAATGCTGTGTATTACAGGCAGTTGATGTATGTTAATTCTGATCTGACTCACTGTGGTGTATGGATTGGGGTTTTTTTTTTTTTTTTGTATATTCCTGGAAATGATTTTAAACATATGTTTTTTACACTGACTAGGGAAAGCTCGGATCTCTGAAATCATGGTTTGATACAGAAAGATCTGATGATTCTTACCTCGGGACGCGTGGATCGTGCCACGTGCTGACCCCTGTTTGTGTGTGCAGGAAATACACCTGGCCTTGCTGCGTGGTCCTCTGTTCTGTTAGGGTACAAGCAGTAATGTTAGATAACTGAAAACAAAGCGCTTTATGTCATGAGAGTTGGTCACCCTCCCCTAACCCACGGTTGTTAATTAACATTTGATCAACACAGTTTATTAGGCACAAACTGAATCAGGACAGCTCAAGAGCAGCCATTATAATCACCTGTATATGTATAATTTTGTAATACATAGATAGAAGTAAATAACTCACTGAATCTCCTTATTTATCTTTGTTCTAAGGGGGCAGCCATCTTTACTCCTCTTTTGTAATTAAGAGCCAGTGTGCATTCACAAATCGTGAAATCATCAGTAAGCACAAAGCATCTATAGAAATGCACTCCAGGATGGATTTATATCTTTAAAATATGGGTGGTCTTCGAGGATAAATGGTACTTCTGAACAAAGGGGACTGAAGATGGTTACCCCCATGGAGCAAGGGTGAGCCAGGACATGCAGTTATTAACATGTATTCATAACAATGTACACACTGGCTATATTAAATAATCTTATTTTCAGCAAAACGTATGACAGTTTTCCTTTAAGAGTAAGCTTTTCCTTTGTAACAGTGGAGGTCAATTTACAGCATGGTCTGAAGCAAAATGGCTTCCTATGGGAAAAACAGGCGACCAGAACTGGAGGCAATAATGTAAACGACTCACCGTATCCCTCTGGCAGGTCTGGAGGGGTGTGTAAATGTGTTCTGCTCATGTAATTTCTGTGCCGCTGGGACCGGACCCTCCTCTCTGCAAGCCTTGGATCAGAGCTTTGCCCGCAGGTTGCCCCATTGGTTACTGCAATCGGCGTGTTTTCATCTACAAAGCAGCTCAAAGGCCGACCGGGACTAGAATATTCAGATGCCGGCCTATGGAGAGGATACTATGTTACTAGGTTATCACATCCTGCACAATGCTGCTTGCAAAAGAGACTTAGAACGAAATTCCCAGAAAAAAGCTGAACATGGATCTCACTCCAAAACAAAGTATTTGGGGCTTAGGTTACAAAGTTTGGGGTATTGTGAAACCAGGAAGATTTTAGCAATATGCCAAGACAACAAGCTGCAATATATCAAGCACTCAACAGCAGCCGAGATCACAGCTAAAATTGATTCATTAGTAAAATTACACAGGAGCTTCACAGCCGAGGTGAGGACTGAGTCAGAACACACTATGTAGCTCATTACATTGACGGATTAAGAGGGAGAGAGAGCACGCTATATGCACAGTGCCTATCTTTCTTGCTAGTGATACTTTTGCAATTCTTCCTGGTTTGGATATAAAACAGGGGATATTTAACATGCTGGGTTAAAGGGCCACTGAATAAGTGTATTTCTTATAAGAGGGATGGCCAACGGCTAGACCCCTAGCAGTTGGAGAACTGAGCAGTAATATTTAAAAAGAGCTTTGGTCAATGCCCACCCCTATCGCTAAACTAAATGAACTGTAGGATCTCGGCCTATCAGAGAGAAAGCCTGGTATGATTACCGGGTTGGACGTTCCCACTGGGTTGTCCTTGTGATGTGGTTCAGGTACTGAATCCGACCAGACGCCGTTCTCCTCTCCTCCCAACTACAATGGAGACATGGAGTACAGAGAACATTAAGGCATTTTTTAGGAATTGGATATTGGTTTAATTTGCAGGGAGTTAATGACGGCAACAAGCAAAGTGTAACGCTAGAACTCAACCAATAAACAATAAAAGCACTAAGGACAGTCTTAGATTGACATAGAGCATCATAAAATATTTTTGCATGATTTCAAATAGTTTTGTTAAAGAAAATAAAAACGAAAAAACACCACACCCTGAAAATTGGGGGTGGGGGAGATCCTCAGCTCATTAACATCTCACCCATTCACAGTGAACAAAACAAAACACTTAGCTTGTTGCATTTCATTCTAAATAACAAAGACAATGGATGACAACAAATATGGTGTTAACGAGAGGTTCTATTAAGAGACGAGATGATATTGAGCAGAATAAAGATGCCACAGACAGGGATTTTACACACACAACTCACCCATCTGGTAAATCATTATCAAACAGACGACTGCAGTCAACAACTTGTCCCCCGGAACCAATTCGGTCTCTGGACTGAAGACTGACTGTAAAGATAGAGGAAAAACACGTTTTAAAGTGGATTCTCACTATGTGGTGACGAAAGGCTCAGATTACATTATGGACATTTAATCATTAAATTGAAACTTTATCCTACAATATAGTAATCCGATCAATAAAATAAACAGAAAGGAGCCATCTTGCTTTCCTAGCAGATCACAGCACTGGTACTACCAAATCAATTATTAGTTGTGATAATATGTGTATATATGAACGGAGATGTGACAGGACACTCTGATTTGGAGGGCTCTTATGGTTCCACTGCTGCGCCCTGCATGGGGTCAGATCACTTTATGGGACAATATCCACATTGTTATTTTTGAATCATAGTTTATCTATGTATTTAGTGCAATATTATACATTGTCATATAAATTATCTTATTGATCTGCACTATTATTGCTATTTTATTCTTCATGCAGAAACATTTTTTTTTAGCGCACCTCATTCTTTGTATCACTATGTTTAATTTTCATTTACTGCACGTCCACACCTACACCGCCATTTTGAGAGAATGTAAATATTCCGGCTATAGTGCTTTTAGAGATAAATTTAACGGCAGGCGCCAGTAACACTTACCTACAATTTGACCTCTGACTGTATCGTTATCATTTGGACCGAGCTTACATAGATCCAGTCTCTGATCTACAAGGGAAAGAGGACATTATGTAGAAAAGCGTAGTTAGAATTAGAAGCAGGAGGTGAGATAGAATGTATTCAAGACAACATTTGCTTGGCAATGGGAAGTAGCAAAACCTAATTATTCTCTTTCCATAATACAGTAAGTAAAGCAGATTCAGATTTTTTTTTTTATAATTCTTTATTTTTGTAGTGCATACAGTTGGAACAATAATGCTTGTGGTACCCCACCGGCAGTCCACTCGCTAATTTCAACAACAATAGATACAGTGGGGAGTGATTGGACAGTGCACATTTTGAATATGGTATAGACTGACAAAGTACATTTCACAAGCTTAGGTAGTTCGAGACTAGGCTAGTAATGACGCGTGAAGAGCAGAGTTTCAACGTTAATGAACAGGTTAATTAGGCATGTTTAGCTAGTGGGCGCAGTGAGTGTGAGATATGAGCTGTCCATGCTTAGTATGTATCATAAGTGATGTTCAGGTGTAAGTCTGTTTATATGCAGGTATATATGTGTACACCTGGGCTTGCTTTCCTAACATGTTACACAGGTGACTAAGTGAACACAATGAGTTAAGTGCTTGTCATACAATAGCATGGGTAGACAGAACAGTGCTAGGGGATAAGTCTGGCCAACAGAGCTAATTAGTCAAGGTGGTTGCTAGCTAGGAGTGGTTATCGGGACACAGAGCTATTAACACCTCTGTGTTCTGTAATCGTGGAAAGAGGGTAGCACTGACATTGAGAATAACAAGAGTCTTTACATTGCTGGAGATGATCTTGCTGTGTGTTAGCAGGAGCCGCTTTATCCAGTTGTCACCCAGTACCACCGATGGGCTGCAGCAGGGCGTTCAGCATTAGTGGGACCCCGAGATTTTCCGGTCCATGGACCTGTGAACCTCCCCACTGCACTCTGTCATGTCTCCTTGTGTGGTGAGTGCTGTCTAGGCGAGTTCTGCTGCCGGCACTTCCATGAGAGTGTGACTTGATCCTGCTTGCAGTGTCCATGAGCTTTACTGCCCTGTAGTAGACTGGTAGGATAATAGTGGGTGCTTTTCTCTTTGACTGCGTTGTTTTCCTCATTTTTGAGCAGGCGTCATCTTGATCTCTCTGGCAGCTCGCGCACATGGCCGGCGCTCGGCGGCCATCTTGTGTACTGTCGCCCGGGTGATGTTCCCTGCTAGGGTGGTTGATTGGGCCAAGGTTGGTGTGCTGGTTGGTACCTCTGCAGACCGGGATGACCCCCCCGGTCCAGGGGGGGGGGCGGACGCGAACCGCCGGCCAGGAGACCCAGGAAAGCGGCCGTCCCTTCCTGGCTCAAGCCCCAACGAACTCCGAGCCCGGCCGGGTTACTGTCGGTGCCGGACCGGGACCCATGCGGCATCCCCGCTTTCCCCAGTGACTGGGGGTCCTTGTGGACATCTGTGGGACCCTCCGGTCGCGGTTATCCTCCAATATGCTCCGGTTTTTGGGCCTTGGAGCGGGAGCTCAGACAGAACGCGTCTGATCCCGTCGGCGGCCAGACCCCGCCCCCCGCAGATTCAGATTTTTAATGTTTCAGAAGATGGAAACGCGCACATCGATGAAGAAACACTATAACAACTAAGTGAATTAAAAATCTTCTAGTTATGAGGTTTACTGCCTAAAACCAATTATAAAAATGTAATAAAGCATAATAATTTTTTAAAATGCTGCTCTGCTTGGGAATGTAGGTCACCATAATTATTTGGTTCTTATTGATAGAACTCCTCCCCATCCCAATTACAAACTATTTCAACTAATTTTCAGTTTAGTTATTATCCCCAAAATTCTAGGAAGACAAGCACTTGACACAATACTTATTGCAATCAGTCTGTGTTGTACCAGCTTGATTATCTTTACATTGCAGCCAGCATCTGTCTGCTCTCATTGTTCGCAGTGTTGTCAGCCTCAAGGATCAGCAGTTTATTATAGATTTACAAGTGATTTTCAGAAAGAAACAGTCCTTACTATGTCTGTCAGAGAATTAATTCGGATAGCGAGACAGGAATGCGTCACAATTGGACGATAATCCTTCACTATAATCTCTTAACATTTAGTCATTTGTACGGTTGAAACATGTAACCAGATTGCAGCGACACGCAATCCGGCAGATTACTTACACGAAAATCACAGAGACAATGTGATGTCAAGAGCCGGCTGGAAGCCTCGTTGCTTTCTATTAACATGTAACCACAAAGCGAGATTTCTCACTAGCTAACACAGATATCGTTTTTCCTCTTCTGCTGGTCCATGAGAAAAATCCCAAATAACTACTTACAGTGAACTGGTTGTGAATAATTTAACTTACCTGCAAACGCTCTATATACATTGAATACACCACGGGAGCCCAAAAGGCAGATCCCCAGATGGTTTAAAACGTCAGCTCCTGGAGGGTGGAGCCTGACAACGAAACCAAGCGGACGCACAATAGTGGAGCTCCCGCTTGGATAATCATAATCCAGCCGATTTGGGGGCACCCAATACCTACCTTGGTCACAGAAGCTGTGTCTAAAACCGGGACAGTCAGCCAAAGCCGCCGATGCCGTTTTTTTTCTTACGCCCGGCTCCAAAACACGACGCCGAAGCGGTAAGGCCTACCACGCGGGCGGGCGGACGGCAGAGAGACTCAGGGGAGGGAATCTGGCCCTGGGGCTCACCTGACCTGGAAGACTGGTACCACAACCTGCCACACACAGGTGAGATGGGGCGCAAGTCTCAGAAACCACCCACACATACCCCAAGGCCACAGCGCGACATAGGCCAGATGTTACAGGCCCCAGGTGCAGCGCGGACCACGTCCCATCGAGACACCTCCCCACTGCCCTCAGAGGAAGGAGAACCACCTGATAGCCCACTCACTCCATGTCATGCAGCTCCCCCACGGGTAATGGAGGATAATGCCCCAGCATCCAGGAGTGATATCCAGGCCATGCTGACAAGCCTGCAACAGAACCTCAGGCAAATGTGGGAGGCTGACCTGGCAGTGCTAGAAGGGGATGTACATGCAGTGACACTACGTACACAAGCCACAGAGAATGAAGTGGAGACCCTGAAACAAGGCCTACAAGAGTTGGGGGAGAAAGTACAAAAACTAACCACCACACAGACTACCCTCTCCAGACAAGTCAACCTACTGGATGACAGGGGAGACGCAAAAATGTCAAAATCAGAGGGGTACAGGAATCCATACCGCTGGAGGAACTACCACATTTCATCAGACGCCTCGTAGCTGCACTACTTCCGGCCAGACAAGCCAAAACCTTCTTATTCGACGGAGTCTACAGAATTGCGAAATCCCCGCAGGCACCTAGCGCAGCACCGCGAGACATCATACTACGGTGCCAGTCCATGTCAGACAAACTGGGACTTTTAGCAGCGCTACAGGGAAAGACTCCTATGGAATTTGAGGATCGCCGTTTATCCTTTTTTCAGGACTTGAGCAGAGCCACACTACTATGGCGCAAACAAATGCAACCACTTACTAAACCGCTCCATGCAGCAGGCATTGCCTAAAAGTGGTAGACTCCGGGGACCCTATGGGTTACCAAAGACAACAAGCATTACAAGGCCATGGACCCCTCTGAGGGCCCAGGTCTAATGGCAACACTGGGACTCCCAACTATGCCGACAACTTCAACACCACAGCCAGGCCACCGACCCAGGAGGGTGGAAGCAACAACAACAGCTACACCCAGACCCCATGGAGACACCAAGTCCTGAAACGGCGCGCTTGGTCTGGGTCTCTTGGACTCTTACTAAGACTCTCTTACTAAAATGTTTAGTAACGTTTACAAGCTTTAGTATTACTGGTTCGCCCCTTTCGGTTATAGTGGGATAGCGACCTATTGGAGGCTCCACCAGCCGGCTCTGGCGACAACCCACCCCCACCCCCCCTTGCCCTGGGGTAATAGGGTACTACCAGCACGGGAGCTTTACACGCACACATAGCCTAACGCTTTTTTCCTCCCCTCACGCCGTGGGTTCTTTGCCCTCTGGGCGCAGATAGGCTACCATACAGCTCCCACCCACCTAGACACCTACTAGACTCAAATATGTATTACATCGCGCTTACACACAGCCACCTCCATCACTATATATAGTTAAGCCACACAGCGCACCTCCAATCCAGGCGAGAGCCATGCAACTTCCGAAGGAATGTATAATAGACATAACCTAAAACCACACAGGGTGCCGCTGAAGGGAACGTCACGACGCCCCACTCACCCAACACGGCTCTAGACCTGGACTCCATATGGAGCACCATAATCAAACAGATACCAGAGATCAGATGGGGATTTGACCCCCACAGACAAAAGCTTATCGGATACTACATGCCCCACACGCTAGATGGCTCCAAAGTACCTGCGCTGGTACGCATAGACGAGTGAATATTCACCCAAAACTTCCACAGTTAAGGCCCACGTTACAACATCCCAGCCCAATATAACTTAAAAAATATGCGAAATGTATCTCAACAGTATATTCAATGTAGAATGTTCCTGTGACCCATGCACATAGGGTTGCGGTAATTTTAACAGGTCGGTCTTTTCATCGCATGAAAAATAAAGATTTACAAAAAAAACAAAAAAAACAACGTCAGCTCCCATGATGTTTTAGCATTCTAAAAGGCATGCAAAGCCTCATGGGATATGTGGTTCTACAACATCTGGGGATCTACCTTTTGGGCACCCTTGGAATACACCATATATCATAAAGATACACGGCGTATTAAAAGTAAAATATACTCCCCTTTTCACCATTCTAGAATAGACTCATGGGCGTTAAATTCACCTTTGGGCCGCCATCTGTTCATTTTTGATTACCTGCTTGCGACATATCCCCAAGCAGGAAGCAGATCAAATCTTGTCAGTGACATTGGTACTCTAGCTTTGTTGCGATAGAGCCGGCATCAGAATGGAGTGACATCACTTCACTCCGTTCCTAAACTCCCTAGGCTCCGTCAATTAGAAAATCCCTAGCAAATGCTAGAAGTGCAAAACTGCTAGCGCAGTATATAGATAATTCATGCTCATTAGACTGAGCATAAGATTTTGTTTGGGGCATGACAGGTGTCTTTCAAGACCAATGGGGTCATTTCTGTTTTCAGTAAATTAATAGCACATTGCATTTAAGGAAACCTGCATTGTAATCATGGCACTGACAGTCACTGTTTTTTTTATTGTTAATATCAACGTTCCCTTCCACACAAAGCCACGTATTGTCCATTGTCAGGGAAACTTGGTGCATTTGAAAGAGGACAGTAAGTAAACAGCAGATCTGTGAATGAGCAAACTCTCTGCTTATTCAACCACAGAAATGTACCCATGCAGACATGTTATGTTCTAATCAGCCCATAAACAAACCTTTCCCCTACAGACACAGTCTGGCATTGGAAAGTTCTGATATGTTGCCAGATAGGACTAAACGCATTAGAAATAAAATAAAATAAATAATAATAATAGAGGATAGAGCTATAGTTTATACTCACAGCCGGTGTCTTTTAGACGGTTGATGGCATTTGAGAGGAGGCGGACACATCCGAGAAAGCCAGCTCCCTGTTTCTTATGGATCTTTTTGTGATTCCAAACGCTGATAGTGATGGAGTCTGACTTCCCAATGTACCTGGGAGAAAGGAATCCGGAGGAAAACAATGAGAGTCAAACAGGAATAACGATAGAAGGGGTTGGAGAACATTTTGTATAACTGAAGGATCACAGCTAGACTGAAAGCCCCGCGGCTCAGATTATGTAGACTGTCAGATTGTGTATTTACTGTATAGCTAGGTCTATAACCATTAAACACTGGCAAAGAACTGACAAGAAAAATTCTAATTTGAGGCCAAAACTGAAGATTTGGAAAGATCCAAGTTAGATATTTTCTCTCTTTTTTTAAGTTTGACTAATCTGACCTACAATTTGCAAGTCTCTGTTTAATTATTAAGCCTGGTGAACAAAACCCAAAGACAAGCATTCTGTATTATACAGCACCTCCCGTATTCAATGGATATACATTAGACATGTATAGTGTTAATAGGGACCGTTATTTGAAAATTCAATATATTCAGTTTTCTGTACTCAATATAAAAATAGGAGATATCTTGAGAAGTCAGAGCAAAAATCTCTAGATTGTTTTGTGAGGAAACACTAAATGCTCAAAGGTACGCTATAATTTCATGACACAAATAAAATACACATTAAATCATAACTAGCCAGTCACTCAAACACACAGAACTAGCATTCTACTCACCTATACATACACGTACCTCCCAAGATTGGGAGTATTCACTCAGGACAGTGGGGTGGGTGACACACAATGTGATTAGAAACTGACCAGGCTGGAGAGAAGGATTGTCAGCCTCTCAGGGGAGACCATGGGCAGCTGGGCACCCTGATAGCACGCTACTGATGTGCTCACTAAGGAGAATTCCCTGCTGTATCCTGGTGTGAGATACCTGGCTATGAAAACATGGTATGGCAGGATATTTTTGGAGGTCACTTCCCTTGGACTCCCAGGCAGGGTTAACACGTTTTCATGGACACTTAATTTGTTAATGATGAAGGGCCCTATATAACGAATGCTGTCCTGAGATCTGCAGAATTTATATGCTTCAGGATTCCTCTATAAATGAGCTAATTTCATACTTTTAGCACTGGAATTCCACATTTTGGAGGAAGGCACTTTTCATGTCCTGCCTATAAGTTAGGTATCTGGAAAATCATGGGAGATCTGGTAATCTTGGTGTCCAGGAGCAAAAACACAAAAAGATGATATGAGATCTTCGGCTCTTCCTGACCAGCAGGGAAAGAAATTTCTGGCACCAATCCCACTTCTATGTTGTCATGATGAATTGGTGCGCTGGGTTTGTCATAACCTTCATTAAGAAATGCCCGATTCCATCCAGGGGAAACCTATTAATCTGGAAAATCCACCGTAATCTTACTGCAAATATTACAGCATAGCCTGAATTTGTGCCACATTTTTAGAGCTTAACAACTAGTGGCTCTGCCCTGCTCTGCAATTGTAACAAATTAAGTGGAGGGGAACACATGGACAGAGACGTAACCAAGCCCTTTTTTTTCAGCCACGTTTTCTTCTGCAAGATTCTCAAAAAATATTTTTTTTAAAGGATATCATATTTTACACGTCACTTGGAGAGATTGTACAATATAAGGCCTGGAGAGACTCCATATACACGCGAAGGCTGGTGTACTTCCAAGCTGTTCGCAGCAAACAGAACACTTGCAGACCAGGAACAGGCTCCGTCAATTAGGAAATTCCTCCCGCCCCCCCCCCCTTTTTTTTTTTACATTAATCATCTTCCACAATCCAGTAGTTTCAAGAGCACGCAATTGGTTGGATTTAGTGAATATAATTGCTCACTAAGAGTAGAACAGCTGCACCTGGTCAAGGCCTCAAAGGCTTAAACCACTAGTCTGGGGATACTGGGTCTCTTGTAGAGAGTGAACCTGATTTGATATTTTTGTTCTGCGCTGCTACTGTGGTTAGATTCAGCTGGAAAAGCTAATGGTATAGGCTTAACGCCCAGAATGGGTTCTAAACACAGCACAAGCTATTAGCCTTTGTCCAGTCACAGTATTGCTTTACACAGAAGAAATGGCTGCGCCACAAACCAAACAATGTTATAACAATCTTCAAAGATAAAACAAAACAAAGATAAAATATTGCTCAGTATTAATATATAGTCCAAAAAGTTCTCACAAAGATACTTCGAGCGGATGAAGCAGCTATAGCGGTAAGATGAGATGTGAGGTAGCTTCGGACTCGGAGGGTCATAGCCTCTTCAGATAGTTTGTAGCACAGTATTGATTTACCCCGACTTTCAACTCCCTGTTTGCATTCAGATTACACAGTCGAAGGCTATTGAAATGGTCATGTATAAGTCAGACCACTTTCCAAAGCTCTGGTTTGCAAAAAATCTTTTAGTCTTCTGCATGTCAAGCAAATTCGTCAAATCTTTGAACATATAAGGATGTCAGGTGAGTTTTATGAGAAGCCAGCAGTAGAGACAGAGCTCCATATGAAATAGCCAGGAATTACAATATTAGGAGCCCTGTCTACCCGTATTCGCTAGACGTGGCTGTACAGTGTGATTTTAGGTGAGGAAGCGGTCTAAAGCTAAACAGACAACATCGCTTGCTACAATGTAAAGTAAAAATACTGCCGCTGTAACAGGATAAACCAGTCTGAGGTCTCGGAGACTGACAGAAACAATGAGTTTCTGTGCTACAATGGTTTCATTTAATAACATGTCACTGGGTCCCTGAAGGGACAATAGGAAGTCAGCGAAATTATGTCATAGTGAACAGTCCAGCACGCCTCCTGTTTCAGGAGAGAAACATACAGAGTGTACGAGGAAAGAAAAGAATTCTGACCAAGAACTGCGATCTATTCACATTGCTGACATAATCCAAACAGGATTTACAGGACCGGTGGTCTATTCCCAGTGTCATTATGATTCCGGCTGATCTATTCTCAGCGCAAAGTGTCATCCAGACTTCCCAAGATGCTGATCATCGGAGCTAGTTATAATGTGAATATAACCCAATCGCTGTTCTCTAGGTGCAGTGATCTATTAATTGACCCGGAGAGTGTTTTCCAGATCTGGTGATCTATTTATAAAGTGAATATGATCCAATTGCCATTTATCAGAACCACTGATCTATTTATAAAGTATTTCCAGAACCAGTGATTTATTTATAATATAATCCGGTCAGAGTAAATATGGAAAGGACAGGATCTCCCAAGAGCAGCGATTCATCCAGTTAAACTTTCCCATGTGGTTTGTTCCAGGCCCAGTGATCTATTCACAGAGTTAATGAGTTCCAGTCAATGTTTCACAAATGACTGCTAATCTATACAGATATTAAACAGCATTTAGTGTTTACCAGGACCAATAATCCATTTGCAGCAATAACGACATTCGATCTGCATTCTGCAATACCGGTGGTCTATTTGATGACAATAAAAGTAACAGTAGAGGTCTTTATCATATTACAAACTAATGGTGGGCACAAAGTTTCCCAACCCCTCCATGAACACTGCTCTCCTTTAATCATATTACATTTGTTTGTTTCAATGGCAAAAATAAAACATGTAGTCTCCCCCCACCTCTGCCTTCCAGTCCATATTTCACTTACAAATCATAATGCTGGTTCCATTTTGGGTCCAGGGTATTCTTCACGGTGTCTGTGGAGTGACATTGCCCAGACCCGTCAACCACGACCTTCGCAAAAGGGTCTGGTAGCCCTACAGTGGGTATAAGAGAACAATGAGAGGTAAGGCATCTGTACCGGCAGAACAACCCCCCCTTATCAGCAACACATTTGCAAGCTAGATGATATTACCAGCATTCCATGCAGAGAGACAGAATTACAAGTATGCATTGTTTCATGCCATGCACAAGGACATGCTGTCTAATTATCCAACAAATACATTAAACTCTTGGCTAAACTCTCCCCCCTCTCCCGGCAACAAACATGGAGAGAATCGTACAATCAAAGGCAATACTCACTGAAAAAATCCTTCTTCACAAGATTTTTCGCACACAACACTGCAAAAAGAAAGAAAAAAAGATCAATTATCATAAAACATTTAAAGGGCAGGTTTCGACATGCATTGCTTTAACAGAGAAACAGATTGCTTTATTAGCAACTCGCCGAAAACAAGCAAGGCAGAGAGAGTGTTAAATATATTAAATCACTAAACAGGCCTTATCTATGTAACCCTCAGAATGCCGACGTAAAGATGCACACGGGGGTTACTTAATGCTTCTGCTGCCACCTGTGTGCACAACACATAGAAAAGCCAACACAGAGCTCTGGCACTCAAGAAGGTTAAAAAAACAAGTGGATCTTTATTTTATTTTTCACTGAATGGGTGCTTCCATAGTGGCTTGATTGTCCACCAGCTTAGATATTAAAACTTTTGAAACATGCAAGTTACAGTACATTTCTCCTAAAGAAATGTGTTTTGGAATGACCCGTTTAAAAAAAAGAAATAAATGTAAAAAACCTAAGTGGTTTTACCTGTGCCGTACAGGAAACCAAGTCAATTAGTGATGTTTATAAAACCATGTAGGAACTCCCATTTAGCTATTTTGAGATATAAAGAATTGGTTGTGTGTGTCAGTTTGAACACGTAGGAAAACCCTCCTCGTAGACGGATCAGGATTTCCTATTTATATTCTGTGCTATAATTAAATGATACATACAATGATCATCTATCACATATCTTCCCTAGAGCAGCTGATACAAATAACCAGTTTTGTGGCACAGATATTTACATGTATCTGCCATGTGTTAAGAAAATATATGAATGAAGGTTCTCCCCCCTCCCCCCCCCCCTGATGAAATAGGACAATAACTAAAATATTATAAATAAATAATTCAATATAAAACATTTCTGAAAAGTGTCAGTGGGTTAAATCTGTTTGTTTAAGATCCCATAGAAAGCCCGGCAAACATTACCAAAATATTCCACAGTGCTGTACAATTGGTAAACAGACCCAAACAGGTAATCATTACGAAACCAGTTTGACATACAGGAAGAGGAGGCGATGAGGGCCCCGTCTAAAAGGAGGTGAGGCTTTCAGTCTAAAAGGAGGTGAGGCAGAATTAAACAAAGGTGAAGGTGCAGTATCTGATGGGAATATGTATGCTAGGGGAACGAGCAATACAAAGCACATAAACATTACTTGGTAGGCAATGTATACTGTAGACAATATGTGTGACCTACAGGGAGAATTTTCCTTCCAGATCTAAACTGCTTCTTGTTCTATAGAAAGTAATTTAGCAGGCGATATTCTCTAACTGTATGCAACAGTAAATGCTTAAACTATCAATTCCCCATTTAACAGGGTCTTTACTACATTGCACCCCCTCCACAGACTAGCGATGGCTTACATTGGCACCCAAAATATGTGTGAATTATATTTTCCACAAAAGGTTTGTAGTTTATAAGCTACAATTCCCATAAAGCTCAGCCAGCCAAGCTTTATAAACTACAATTCCCATAAAGCTGAGCCAGCCGAGTATCGTGAAGTACATAGGTTACAAGCCTACAGTGTCCCGCGCTTAACTGGCACTTCTTCAAACTAATGAGAGCTTATACCAGCCACCCCGCTGAGCTCATACGTGTAGAGTACAAGGGTCATGCAAGGCAAGGTAGACTTGGAAATATGAAAAGAAGATCACAGAACATGTACGGTCAATATTTATTCACAATTAAGTTAATGTTAATTAAGTGATATGTAATAAGAAGCCAGATTTGCCAAGGGCTGTTACAAGTGGTAAGACATAAAGCTGAGCAGATTAGCAGTCTGCGTGAATATATAAATAACAGCGACTGGAGTCGAGCAAGGTTAACACAGCTTGTGTAAAGGTACACAGTGTTACTGGGAGACCGGAAGCTTAAAGTCTGTGTAAAGACATGCAAAAATACCTGGAGACTGCGCCTTAAAGAAAACCACTTCCATGACAAAATACAACTCACGCAAACAAATGGTTCCTTTTTTTTTTTTTTTTTTTAACTTTATGCATCACTCAAAACACTGGCTCAAAGCAGGATTCCAAAATTCCAAACCTTCTGGCCCTTTGTCCCCCAAGCAATGCATTTTAAGATTCTTAATCACCCTCTGTTTGGCGTGAATAGGATTTAAAATGACATATTTAAGAGACTATTGAAGTTATTCACAAAGTTCCAAACGCACAGCGGATTAGTAAAATTATGTACAATGTGCAAATTGTAATATTTACGAAAATGCATATCCAGAGTAAATCTGGTGCGTTTCACCAAATCTGCATATTCTAATTTTAAAACTCCAGGGTCAAGTAGAAAATCAGCAATTTATAGTTGTGAATAGAATGTGTGTTTTTGCAGGTTTATCAAACCCTTAAACTTACTGAATTCACACGGATCTATTCTAACAGTAAACATTGCAGGGGTAAGGGAACAGGGACACTGCAGCAAGACCACTTCAATACGATAAAGTGATCTGGGTACCCTTTATGAAGAGCCCAGGTGGTTGCCATTTGCGCTGCACTCAAACGGCTGAAAAAAAACAATGTTCATATTGGTTCAATTGTAGCCAGCTATCAATCAATTTTGTATCGTAGGATGAGTTAAAATTGCTGTTTGCGGATAAACGAGTTTAAGTTGTTATGGCAGTTGGAGTGTTCCTTTAATAACTTGTTGATAAAGGGTGAAATCTGATTTCGGAGTAACGAATAGGACGATGGAATGGAAATTAAATTTGGGTTTCAGCTCTCCTTTAGATTAACAGCAATAGTAGGGGTGTGCAAAAGATTAAACGTGACGGCGTGGAGGCGTTTTAACATGGTCCAATCATTCACAAATCCTTTGGATGACTAGATCAGATGCAGTTTAGTACGGATTCAGTGAATGCCTAGATTAAAGGTCAATCTATTGATCTTAACTCTGCATGATTTCAAAGTATATGGTGAATACAACACAGTGCAGACACTTTCAGTAGAGTGACTGAGATTGGAACGAACTGTAAAAATAAATAAAGAAATCAAAAATAAAATCATTGTTAGGAAGAGGACATGCTCTAGAGCCGTCACTCAGACATCGTCTGGGCTGACTACATCAACTTTTTCCCACATGTTGGTGCAGTGGTCTCCTCTTACTTCAGAGTGAAAGAAGTAAGTTGTGTCTTGGGCTACAACAAGCCCATTTGTAATACAAAGTCTACACACTTTACAATATTATTAAGGGGAGTTTAAGAACAAAAATGATTTTGACAAGAACAATAGGTTGATGATGACCCTGCTCAGACGAGCTTAAAATGAGACTTGTGTGCTATGAACTGTAGATCCTACGTATACTAGGTTTAAAAAAACGTATGAGGCAGACGGAAGGAGGAGACATATAGGGAGATGCCATTCGAGATATCTCATGTGAAAAGGGCAATAAACAGGCACAATGGAGAGGAGAGACAGACTGACACTGTCCCTGTCACTCCAATGGGTATTCTATTCTGAGTGTATCACAGAATATACATACTGTATACCTAAAAGATATACCTTACCGCTGGCTAGATAGTCCTATGTACGCTTTCAAAATAAATAAATGTATTGCTGGAGTAAAAGGACTAAATAAAAAAAATGCATCATTTCTATAAAGTTAAATCTAAAAAGCAGTCCAGTTTAGGACTCCCCACTCACAAATACTGTATAAAATAAGGACAAAAAGAATATAAAGGGAATTGCAATCTCAGACACACCATACACTTAGTATGATTGGCACCCAGATAGCTTTCATACATGCACATGTAAGATCACAAGTTTACCCATACAGGAATAAAACTATGTGGCAATCCAATACAAGCCAGCTGACAACTGCTATTAAAATTGTGTCTTTGTTTCTTCATTTTACTTTTTGTTTCATGAATGAAACTACTTACAGAAATTTCAATCAATCAATCAATAAATAAAGGATTCAGGAAACTGAGAAGTCTGTGTTCTGCATGCAAAGATGGCTGCTTTTCTACTGTATTTGTATTTAGTTATGCATTACTGGGTGGGGGGATGGTGGGTTCAACTGGAGCTTGGAATGTCACTTAATCTATTGAACGTACACACCATCATCACAATGTGTCCAACAGCCAGCTTATGATGACCCACAAACACCACTTGGCAAAAGAAACCTATATCTGTTGCCCCAAGGATGCCTATTCTGCCTGGGAGATAAATCGATTTGTAGAACATCTACATATTCCCCATGTATAAAATGTTGGAATTACAAAGAATTACAAGTAAACATGAGCACGTTTGGCTGGAATGCATCTAGAAATTTAACATACAGGGTTATTCGCCAACGTGAGAATTTTCGCAATTCAAAGTGATTTTCGAATGTAAAGCTTCTATCCACATTCCTAATGTCTTCGAAAGTTCGTCCTTTCACCCCGTATTCACATACGAAAAGGGTTTTGATTAAAGTTTATTTTCGGTTAAGATGTGAAAATAATAGTGTGGGATCACACTGGTACAGGGAAAGGGGGGGCAGCTTATCTTGGGGATCCCGTGCAGTCGCTCAGACTGGGAGGGGCTCCTGACTGATACACACAGGACATTCCTACCATACCAAACCGCTGATTAGAGGCTGAAATTCTAAAGGGAAAACAGTGATCCCCATCACTGGCAATACACTATTACTCCTTATACTGGGGTGGGTTTAACTCCTGCACTGCTAGAGTGTGGATCCCACCAACAGCAGCAGATCTTTATATTAACTAGTCAGGAACTAGCTCGCCATTAACACAATGTAACATTAGGTCACAAATCTGCTTTTACTCATAAAAAACACTTTATTTGGACACATTTTATTATAAATGACGGACCCTTCTTATTTAATGCAGTATACCTAGCTCTGTATTACAGAACATTTAATCGCATTCTTCAGTAGAATCCTAAGAGCATTCCCTTCCTTTTTTAACTCCTTAAGAGCTGGATATCTGGTGAATTGCTAGATACCTTGGCAGGCCTGTATTAAAAAGGTATAATAAATTTGGAGTTTAGTAATTAACCTGCAAATGTTTACGTTAATTACATACGTCTCTACGCGTGCAACAAATCAAAGAATAAGCGGCATTGGATGCAGAACCTACATTATATCATTTATTGCACTCATCTAAAGCTCGTCGCAGGCCTGTAAATATTTACAAACAGGACTTATTCTAGAAACTCAATATATGTGTAGTGATGTATCAGACAGCAGCACCAATCCGCCGGGTAACTACGTCTTTGCGGCTCCCACAAAACTGTAAAATCTCTTATCACCACTTCATTATCCCTGAATGCTCTAATCACTTCTAAAACACAGCAAGGGACACAGACTGCATGCATTAGTCTACATACAGCACCGGTTAGTGTTTAAACAACTGCCCACACTGCAAAGGTTAACAAGGGGTACAGGGATGTGTTATAATCATGCCAGGAAACCTGCATATTATCAGTGATTAGACTCCTGCCTGCAGTGCAGGGGTTAACATAGACTGCACACATTATCCATGTTTAGTCTCCTGCCTCGACATCATGGCATTGTTATATTACAGACAAGGAGTTTCCGCTCCAGGTCCTCCCACTCAGACTCCAAGAGACGCTCCATGATCCCAGTCCTTCTCCAGACACAGCCAGGTGCGAATGCAGGAATGTCAGGTACATACATTAACCCACAGCTGGCCATACCGCAAGGGCCCCAGGTGATAAAACACGCACACGGTGGAATGTATCATTCATAAAAATCTCTTCCCGGACCCCTAAAACAAGACGGATTCTTATAGACTGTTAATTAGAGCACTTTGAAATCCATTCAATAAACAGCAAATTGTAAGGATTTGATAACCAACGTGTACACTTTAGAGAAAGGGGGGAAAAAATGGATTTTACAAAATTTAAAAAATTGCAAATTGAGATTTTCTTTTCCCGACATCTGTATATTTTTGGTGAAAATTTCACCAGGAGGCTTTCAGTTCATCAATTCTTGACATTTAGCGGATAAACACCTCTCACCATGGTGATAAAAAGACACATTTTTAATTAGAACGTAGTTTTCATACTTTACACGGTAGCTGCCATGCTTCACGATGACGAGAGCAAGCTGTACCGTGTTGTCACCGAGACACTAGCACCATGGTTTTTAGACCAGTTGTCGGCTAAAGCGACAGATAATCTAAATGAAGACGAGTCTCTCACTGCTGTAGTTTGAGAGAGTTTTTACACAGGGTCCACTTTGCTGCCAGCACACATTTCCAGGTGAATTGGAGAATAGCATAAAATACATTAAAACATATATTAGCAAATCAACAGAAGCACCACGATTGTTCATATAATTAAACCTCTAGATTAATCCACCTCCAATATGGCAAAATCTTTACAGCATAACAATGTTACCCTGTAATTGTACACGAAAGACTAGAGACAATACAGGGATAGTTGTGAAACAGTTACACAGACTGACTTTGAATCAACATAACATAACATATACAAACAAACCCTGTCCTGCTATATCTAGGGAGATGAATCATACAATTCACATTTTTTACCAAAAAAACAATATGCAACTATGCGGTTTTCATTCAGTGCTTTAGATACTAGGGCCACCCATTAGACGGGCACTTTTTTAAAACTTAACAGATCCACAGAGTGTAAACTATGATCATACCTCCCAAGTGTCCCTATTTAGGAAGGACAGTCCTTATTTTGGTCCCAAATCCTTTGGTTCCCTCTTTCCCATCCAAATGTCCCTCTTTTCTAGCAGCAAATGAACCCTCACAAGCCACAATCACCAAGGACAATATGATGCTTCAAAAACACAGGTGGTGCCCATTCAGAGTATTTTCATGTTGTCATTTAATGGCCACCAACAAACACAGTAACAAACTAACAAAAATAAAAAAGTTCCCCAGAGTCTTATATCTTATATTACGTCATTGCCCTTTGCTCACTCCCAAATTTCATTGTGACCGTAATATGTTTGTGTGCTATACTGCAGCAGTAATCCGGTGGCCCTCACCACATTATCACTCGTGGCCGCCACGTAACAATACCACTCGTGGCCGCCACGTAACAATACCACTCGTGGCCGCCACGTAACAATACCACTCGTGGCCGCCACGTAACAATACCACTCGTGGCCGCCACGTAACAATACCACTCGTGGCCGCCACGTAACAATACCACTCGTGGCCGCCACGTAACAATACCACTCGTGGCCGCCACGCAACAATACCACTCGTGGCCGCCACGCAACAATACCACTCGTGGCCGCCATGCAACAATACCACTCGTGGCCGCCATGCAACAATACCACTCGTGGCCGCCATGCAACAATACCACTCGTGGCCGCCATGTAACAATACCACTCATACAATTCTACTCATGGCTACCATGTAAAAATACCACTCGTGGCTGTCCACGGCCCATGCCCGCCAATTATGCAGGACTTTCTTCATGTAAAACAAGATGTAGATCAGCATGCTACATTTTGGGATGTATGCCACCCTACATTGGACTGACACATCGAAATGTCACTGTCATTTGAATACTGCGGCCGTAGGAAGGACTGACCCATAAACATATCACCGTCATTAGTATACTGCGGCCCTAGAGAGGGACTGACCTATAAAACACGTCTAGGCCATTAGTATACTGCGGCCCTAGCCCAGACTGACCCATAGACATGTTACGGCCATAAGCACACCGCGGCCCTAGGACGGACTGATCCATAAACATGTCACTGTTATTAATACACTGCAGTCCTAAGACGGACTGACCTATAAACAGGTCTCAGTCCATTGAAGCTCTCAAATCGTAGTTTTTAAAGTTAATATGTCCTCCTCCTATACGACTAATGTTCAGATTATTTTGTAGCAGCTTACTAAGACATTTTTTCAGCTATGACTAGCTAAATAGTTGAGAAATGTTCAGAAGGAGTGTTATTTTAACAGTTTATTTTCTTGTCATGTGGCGCTTCCTGTCAGCAGTCGCACAGGGGGGCCCTACGGATGAAAAGAATCTCTCAGTAAAATGGTCATTTTGAGATGATCGCGTCCCTTTAACAGACACTTTCCTTTTCGCTCGCTTCATTCAGAGACAGTGAGTCACTTCCCCCCTTGGCTGCATTTCTTAGTACGGACCCCGCCTGGTGTTAAATCTTTCCCTGGAACTCTGTACACCTGACAGACCGGCAGGGAAGTTTACATTCTTGCATTGTTACAGAGACTAGACACTGTCCTGTTTATCACAGGAGTGGGGAGGGGGGCTTGTAATCATTTTAACCTAGTTTAAAAAAAAAAAAAAAAAAAAATTGTGATGGGAACGATCCTATGGATTTCAGGGAATGGAAGAAAACTAATCTCTCTCTCCCCAGGAATCATGAGAAAGCACAAAGAATTCTCGAGAAATTCTGAAATATACATGCCTGAGGTGAACAGTGTGTATTCCAAGTACAATGTATTTGAGATGTAGGATCTATAATTATATCTCATGGATGAGTGCCAGGTAGAGGCATCGTACATTAACAAGTTGGTTTAGTCCCAAAACATTTCAATTACCTGATATTTAAAGACACGCTGAAGGTAAACTTGGCCGTGGATCTATGATTGGGCAATGGATGTCACATTAGGTAATGATTGTGGGAGTATCAATGAAATGCGGGGACTGGTAAAGAGTCTCAGCCATGAGAAATCAGTTCATGTAGCCATTTCTCTTCATCTAGACAAATCAGGATTTATTAAAAGACTGCCTGGCTTCAGTTCCAGGTCAAATTCATCTAACCCAGTATGAGCTGCAATCTATGCCATTCACAAAACATTCAGCAACAAAATGACAACACATGGATAGAAGAAAGAGACAGTCATTATGCCTATAAACTACATTGCCGTACCATAAATAAATAAAAATAAACTGCTACCTTTACAATCATAGACATGTTATACAACATGTATAATATGTCTATGTTTACAATGTGTTGTTTAGAACTCTACAAATCTGCTAGCTCCACCGTGCTTTGTTTAAAACTCTACAGATCAACTTCCGCCTTAGCGCCTACAAACATCAGACTTGCTCCTCAAATCATTCTGCTTTAAATACAGTGTTTTGAGCAAGGACCAGTTCCCTCTAATTTACATTATTTGTGCAAGACAGACAGCTAGCAGGAGAAGAGAGAGGCACACTATGTAACAGATATAAGCTGAGCTTTCATGGTCTGAGGTCAACCTATTTTATCCTCTTGCTGCCCTAAAACAAGAGAGAAAAGGTTTTTAGAACAAACCGATCTTTCCACAGATGATGGCATTTTTGGCTGACCGTTCAAGCTCAGCTAAGAGTCAGACTCCTTTCTACAATCCTGTTACTGAACAGGTCACAAGCGGCAGCCTTTTATAAATCTGGAGAATCCTATTCTATTACCTGAGAACTATTCCTCTTGGAAACAAAAGCTATTTTCTTCAGTTAAACAAAATAGAGAAAAAAAAGAAAGAATGCACACCCTGACATTTAAAGGATAGAAAACACAGGTAATGGAGTATCATCTGCCCTGCTCAAATTAAAAGAAAACAAACACATCTAGCGAACGAAGCCCAACGCTCAGACAAAGAATATTTCTTGAGGCTGAAGAGACAGACACTGCAGATCTTTGGCATTCTGCGTTCAAACACTGGAACAGAAAGCACTACTCTGGACACGCATAGTTTAATTAGCATGCTGCTGAAATAGCCAATAGTTATATACAATGGAACCAGTGAATCTCTCCATCTTTAAAACACTGCATAAAATAACGAAAGGTCTGACGTCTCGGAGTAGATTAAAGGACCACTTCAAACCTCAAGAGAACTTTAGCTTACTTTAGTCATTTAGAGGTTAACGTTTTTTTCCCCTCTTATTTTAGAAAAGTGCCAATTTCAAGAAAAATCACACTTTTACGAACCACCTTGGTAACGTCTCTCGGTTGTCAAGGTTCCCTTCCTGGTCTCCTTGAGCGTTCTCTCAAGGAGGACGCAAGGCCTTCTAATGGAGAAGCAGAGCCGGCATACAGCTGCCATTGCCTCTATGAGAAGGAATAGATTACCTGGGAGACCATCACTATTTCCACCGCTGGATTATAGGTGAGTAACTCCATTTTTAGAAGATGGGGAGGGGGGGGGGATCTCCTTAAATCTAAACCTAAAAATGGAAACTTTCTTTTTAACATTGGAGTGTTCATTTAAACAGAAAGAAGTTCTGACATAAGTCAGAGAGAGAGATTTATTCCCCGTATAAAACACATCGAGGAAAAACTCAAATTGCGGTGTAAGGATGATACATGAAAAATAGGCATTTTTAGGGAACGTACGTTATAAGTAGCATCATATAGAGGGATGCTGTTTTGTGCATGGCACCCTGCGACCATCAAAATTAATAGTATATTGAATCCAGTGAAGAAATAGGACAACTTTAAAAGAACAACCGTCCCAACTTAGATTTGACATTCCCATGTTTAAATATTTGTTTTTAATGGTCATGTGTTTTTATATTTTTTGATTAATATGTAATAAATACAAATTACGAGCGTATCTAGTGGAATCTACATCATTTAACTATGGTACAAGAGGGGGATAGGCGTCACCCCAAACTTGCATTGCATGCGCTTTTAACCAAGAGGCAAGAATATTGTGTGTGCTTTTCCAATACTACACCATGTGTGAT